AGACAAGTTTATTTCAAATCCTACTATAAATCATATTCGTCATATAGAACCACAAATAATGAAGCTGTAATTGCTGATATTATTGATTCACCATTTTATCGAAAACTAATACGTACTGAATCAAGACCCTTTATCACACTTTTAATGAACTCTGATGATTTCGTAGTCGTTTTCAATAAATGAGCTTCTACGATCTATTACATTTAATCGTGTGAAATTAACCACTGGAGTGCTATCAGTTGATTCATCAAAACCGAAAAAAGACGAAATGCAAATATTTTTAGACAGTCTTGTAAAAGAACTAATTTATTTTGAAAATAAAAGTGTTAGATATACTACTTTTAATTCTTCTTCTCATATTGAAATATTTCGATGTATATTAATTATTCACATCTGATATACTTCGCACTGGTGTAACTGAATTTCTGTTTGTTAAGGCTATGGGATATTGCGAATGTTTTTTGAAAATGTATCACAAATTTGAATCATAAATCTTTCATGTCAACACGAATCTTTTTCTTCTTATTTTTAAAAATAATAGATTTACACAATGAGTTTACAGCTGAGTATGATTAAAAGAACACCCACACCCTCAAGATGATTTTCTCGTTAATTAAATACTACCATTACTTTGATATACATGCACCTAAAAATTATTATATTGAAGATAACTGTAAATGTACCCCATCTTTTATTATCAAATCGAATCATGCACATTTTTAAGATACCGTGTGTAATATGGAATGAATAGAGAACGAAAAAAAGAAGTTGTTTTTTCTTTCTCTTAATCGTTTATCACTTTATCATTTACTATAGTCACACGCATTTTTTTCCTGATTATTATAGTGCAAATTCGTCATTTTCTGTCTGTTGTATATAAGGGTTCATCCGTCCGTCGATTAAATATCGAAGAAGAAGAAGAAGAAAAATAATATGAAATAAATATAAAGAGAAACACTTTTCATTCCCTCTTCATTGTCCTGTGTACATAATTCATCCTGTTATTATTATTTTAAAAATGCAACAAGATTCGTCGATAAAAGCTATTCATGATTTAGCCCGACGAAGTAAAGTATGTTCAAATAAAAGAAGGTCTTTTTATTTGTATAAAAAAAATGAATTGTATTTATATAGATATTTGTTGAATATCGACTTGACAAAGAATCTGGTCCAGCACATGCAAAAATGTATACTGTTAGACTTCATTTAGGTGATAAAGATTATGTTGGTACTGAACGAAGTATCAAGTTAGCACAACGTGCAGCTGCTCAATCAGCTCTTAATGATCATGATATTTCACAAATAAATAGTAAGATCACTCATAAATTGAAAAAAGATGTTAATAAAATCTTTATTTTATTAAATAGTTCAATCACCAACTATTGCATTAAATGCTTGGGCTAGTCGAAACCATATTCCTATTCAATATGTTTTACGCAAAGAACAATTTCTTTCAACATCACCAAATCGTTCTCATATTTTATTTTATTATCGTGTTTATCTCGGTCATGATTTATATTTTGATGGTCATGGTCCTACACATCAACAAGCTCGTGTAAATTGTGCTCTAAATGCATTTTATTTCTTACGTCAAAATCAATTATCTCCTCCATCAACACCACAATTAAATTTTTCATCATGTTCTTCTCCTATATCAAAAAGCAAACATTCAACTAAATCTGAAATATCACTTATGTATGAACGTGCTAAACAACTTGGTCTTTCTGTTCATATTGAATTTCTTGATCGATTTACAGTAACATATCATATTGGAGGACAATATTCTGCTACGGGAAAAGGTTTTAATAAACATTCTGCTAAACAAGCAGCTGCAGAAAAAATGTTAAAAATTTTACCAACAACTGATCTTCAATCAACTATTAATCCTATAACACGTATTTATCAATTCGCTCAAGCTCGACAAGTTAAAATTGAATTTATTCCAATATCTAATAAAGATACTTATATTTTTCAAATTAAATTTGGTGATAATACTATTGTTGAAGGACAAGGAAAAACTAAACAAATGGCTAAACGAGCTGCAGCTGAAATTTTACTTGATAAATTAGATCCAATTGTTGTTTTACCACCACCACCAGCTAAAGGTTTACTTAAACGTGATGGAAATAAAGAGAATATAACTAAACAAGAAAAAAAACATGTACATTTTGTTGAAGAAGTTATTAAAAAAGATGAACAATTATCTTCTCGACAATCACCACCATCACCATCATCATCGAATATGTCTTGTTCAAATAAACAACAATTAATTGAAGCTTGTCAAAAATTTCAAATTCATTTAGAATATTTAGATGAAATGGTTTGTTTGAAAAAAACAAATATTAATTCTTTTGTATTTATAATTTTATTTTTAGATTAAAAATGAAAATTCTAATAGTTCACGCTATCAATCTATAGTTAGTTTATCAACCAGTAATCGTCTTCTTGCACAATTTCGTGGTTATGGTCCAACATTATTACGTGCACAAGAGAATGCATCATCAGCAGCTTGGAATAATTTAAGACAATTATTTAATGAATCTATTCAAGCATCATGCAAATCAAAAAAACAAGAGAAAAATAATCAACAAATTTCTATTCAACTACAATAAAAAAAAACTCAGAACTTGTTTATTCTTAGTTTGTTTGTTTCTTTGTTTGTTTCATGTGATATCTTTCTGTTTTTTTTTCTTCATTGTTCACAGTTTAAAAAACGATAGAATGACTGTGTGTATGTTTATGTAAAAAGAAAGTTCTATGTTCTGATTGTTTACTATTCTCGCTTTTCATAACTGATTTAACTATTTGCTACGTTTTTAAATATAAAAAACAAAACATAATATTTTTATGCATTTAAATCATAGCAGATGTTTTCATATAATCTACAAAGATAACGCATATGCGTTTTATTTATTTCCTGTAACATGTTGTGTAATTGAGTAGATAAAGAACTTTTTTTTTATCGTTCCTGTTTAAACGTTATTTTCTTATTTCTATCTCTTTTTTTCTATTACAAATGATCAACAACAAAAAAAAAGATATTTTCAAAATCTTTTTCTCAAAATCTCATCACAAATTTCCAATGCGAGAAAAAGAACGAAAAATAGAGATAAAAATAAATCCAAGGAGAAAAAAAAACTATTTACAAGAGAAATAAAATTTTTTATAGACAGATGTGCTGCGCGCATCGCATCGTACAAAAAGACAAAAAATATATAATAATAATGGAAAAAGAAGTACACACGCAAACCTGAGAAATCAACAAACACACACACGTACACAGAAAATACCGGGTTAAACGAAAATAATATTTATACTATTAACGTTTTTCAAAAAATGAAAATATTTATTTTAATGTATTCGAGCATGATCGAGATGTTAAACGAAAAAATTGAAGATGTTTTGTTAAAGCTCCTCGTTTAGTATTTGAATATTGTTGTATGTGTTTTGGTGATATTGAACATGATGAACTTCCATCAACAGATGACGATAATGATGATGAATATAATATATGTGATTGTTGTTGTGGTTGTTGTTGTTGTTGAAGTATATGATTGAATGATGAAAAATTTTTATTTGTTAATAATCCGTTTGTATTATTATTATTATGATAATCATTTAATGGAGATGATAATTGTGATAAATAACAAAGATTAGTTTTGTTAGTTAATTCATTAGGTGGTGTAGATATTTGACAGAAATCATCACGATTATATATTGTATAAACAGTACATTTATCAAACATAGATAATAAACGTTCAACTTCTTTTCCTGAACGACGTAGGACATTGATACCTTCGATTGCATAGAGATATTCATTAATCTATTTAAAATAAAACAAAAAGATTCAATTTAAAAATGAAAAACAATTTTTCGTATAACTTACTCGAATGCCTGATGTAGATGCTGAACCATATGGATCAATTCTTTCAACATAACATGGACCTTGACCGCGAAGAATTAATCCATAACCACGACGATCGCGTTTAAGCTAAAATTATAATACAAAAATAAATTTCCGAAGGGAGATCACTAATCCTATGGGTAAATTCTCAAACAAGTACTTACGGAATAACTTCGCCAACACCACGGTAATTCTCGTCTTTCAAGTTCATCTGCAGTTGGACGATGTTCTAATTTTTCCATAAAAAAAATAATTTAAACTAAAAAATTACTTCTTTTTTTCTACCTGAATTTGCTGGTGAATTAAGACTTGCAGATTTTTTTCTATGATATCCATCTATAGAACACGATAATTTTATTGTACATTCCATTTCATCACTATTTGATATTTTTCGTGTTGATTCATCACCTCCAATTGAACTACAACTACTGGGTGTTCGAATTGTTTCATGTAATATAGGTGATCTTAATAATGATTGTCTTGTATCAATCATATCATTTTGCATTAAAGCAGTTATATCAAGACGTTGCTTTGGCAATAAACGATGAGAATTACTTAATATATATTGATGACGATCATCATTACGAAATTTTCTTGAACAATTACAATCCGTTTGTTGATCACATTCGTCTTAAATGAAATATAATATTTATAAAATAAAATTTAAAAATTATTTTTTTAAATACCAAATCGAACAAGACCATATGTTATCATATCATCAACAAGACGTTCAATATTTAACATATTTGCACCACTACGTAATGCAAGCATTCGAGCTAAATTATCACCTTTAAGTAATATTCCTGATTGTTCATCGTATGGATTAGTTGAAATTTGTTGTTGTTGTAAATCTACACCACGACATTGACTTTTATCAAGTGTAAATAAACTAAGATAAAAAAAAACGAATATATTTATTAAGAAAGAAATAGTAAAATTATTTACCTTGTATATGTTTCATAAATTGAAGCAAATTGTTGAAATGAACGATTTTGATCAGCTGTACCATCATCAAGACGAAAACGATATAGATATCTAACATTATTTTGTGCTGATGGTATTGAAGGATATTCAAATTCATTTAAATCACAAACTAAAAAAAGAATATAATTTGATGATGCGTTTCTTTCTTTTGTCTAGTTCAATAAATAATTAATTTATTTCTGCTTCTTTCAATATCATAATGGCATGAACATAGTAAATCAAGTAATGACTTTATCACTTTCAATATAACATAACACTTTCATTTCCTCTTAAACTTAATTTGACTACTATTATTAACATCAATCTTCATATCATTTCCTTTTTCATGATATAGAACACTAAATTTCCCGTCTACTGCATCTTATTTATCTTACTGATCGTTAGAAATCTACATACTTTATGTAATTGAAGCTTTTTTTAAGGTTACTATTCTTTAAAATATGTTTAGATATTTACTTGAATAAATATGTTATTATCAAGTTTCGTCAAAATCTTTCTTACGAAACATCCGACTGGTTTTATTTACATTCTAATTGTGATGCAAAACGCTGTGTATGCTATACTCAAATTACTTAACCAATGGAATTTCTATGTCTGATACAGTTTTTTTTCTTCTCCTCGCGGTTGACTCACATTCTTAAGTTCATTTAGTATAAAATTTTTGATACTAGCCTTGAAATTTAGGGTAGATTCGAAATCAATTTATTTATTTATCTAAATAAATAAAAGGTAATTTTTTTTTTGCTTATCTCAAAAGGTTACAAAGAGAACTTCCTTTCTATTTTTATCTAGCAGATGTTAATTCAATTAATATATCGACATTTTTTTTTGTTGCCCTGGAATAATGCCAAGTCAAAAAAAACGTAGTTAATGCTCTACTTACCATGATGGATAATTTTTAATTTTTCTAAAACTTGAAAAATTTCTTGTCCATCTTGACTTGTTTTACATAATTGTTTTTTAATAAGCCAATTGATAATTTCATATGAATGAAAACAATTATGAAATAATGAATAAAAATTATTATTATTATTTTCATCATTAAAATAAGCTGAATATGATTGATGAATTAATTTTTCTTCTTTCATTCGTTGTCTTCAAAAAAATAAATAAATAAAAATAAAATTTTGATAAGAATGTGTTGTCTCTTACCGTAAATGTAATGCTGCTGTATATAAATCAACAAAATATTTTATATCATTATGTTGATTAATTAATTCATCAATATGATGTTGATGATTATCATCGTTGGGAGACATTTTTTCTTCACTAATACCAATTTGACACATAGAATTGTTTCTTGAATGATTAGTCAATGCTAAATATATAACATAGATATATATGTGGATGTATGTTTCTTATACTCATTTAATATCTATTTTTTGCAAGCAAACGAGAAGATTCTTCCGTTTTTTTTCTCTCTCTCTCTCTCTCTCCCCCTTTCCGCCGATGTTAAAAGAAAAAGAACAGGAAAAAACAAACCGATCAACCTCGTCTTCCTACCAGCATTTATCTTTACGTAATAAAAAAAAAATCATACAATAGGTTTCTCTCGCTTTTTTTTATATTCAAAATTTTCTTTCGTTAGATTATAAACAGTTTTACAATCAAGGCAACAGACATGTCTTTGTTTCTGTCTAGTCATTCGTCTCGTTAACTTACATATATATATATATATATATTCAAAGATGAGCAAAAGAATAGATAAAGAAAAAGAAATCAAATCAAGAGGTCATTTCGTACTTAAAGGATGGCAAAGAAATGAAATGAATCTATATGTGTAGTATGCGAAAAAAAGAAGTCAAGGTAGATCAATATCTCTTTTGGCATCTCTCCAAATGAATGAATAAATAATTAATAAAAAAAATTTATTTGTTTATTTTTTTTCTTTGTATACTTACTTAAGAAATTTGAATCTCTATTAATAATGATTTGTATATTTTAAGAAGAAAAGAAAACGACTAGAGATGAGTCAAATACAAAGACCAATGATGTGTATATACGTATATATATATATTTTGTTCGTTTCTTTTCATTTGGCAATTAGCCAATAATACAAAGTAACCAACAAGAAAGGAACACGATATGAATGAATGAATGAACGAATGAATGACGCTATGCTATGCTATGCTGTGTGCGTGTGTGCATAGGATATTTGTTGATGTCCAACTACTATATATATATATATATAATTGTGATGACAACGAGAAACAAATGAGAGAGAAAGATGCAAGAAGACAAGTAAATACAATCATAAAAATGTGATGACAAATGAAACGAATCTATATACATTATGATGTATATTGACAAGGGCAAAAAAAAAGAAAAGTACAATCGAACTACAACTACTACTACTACTATTAGACCTACCTTTTTTTTTTCTTAATAGAACGAAATGATCTCGTGTAAACTTAACGTGACGATGAGTAATACTTCACTTAAAATTTCTTATTACCTAACAGGCATTTTTAACTTTTAGTAGTGTACATATTTAAGAAAAGAAAAAAGTATGTCTTCTGGTATGTTGAATACATAGTATTTTTCGAATTATTATAATATAGGTAAATTATTTTACCTTGAAGTTTTTACTGATGATTAATGGAATAAAGAAAAAACGAAGCTGTTTTTGACTGTACAACTTAACCTTGATTACGAATACTTTCATTCATATGTATAGTAAAAATAAACAGTTTTATGTTTGCTATGTTGTCAAAATAAAAAGAATTTCTTACGCTCTCTCGCTCTCTCTTTCTTCTAGTAGTTAAATACCAACAAGCTTAGAAACGCAATAGATGAAAAAGACATTTGTATAATTTCATCTGATCAAAATGAAACTATAAAATTATCATATTAAAACAAGAATAAATCTTACTAAAATCAAGTAAATTGCGTCTATGCATACATATAAGATTCAAATCTTTTTGTACTCACAACGTACTTTCAGAAAAGTACACGGGTCAGGTTTTTTTATAATGAAATGTTAACAGAACGAGAAAGATGATATCTCTGTCTGTTTTTATATAACCTTGGTAATCGAAATAAAAGTATGTTCTGTTTTTATTGACTATTTTCTTTTTTTTTTGGGTCAAGGAGACGCCCATAAATATTAACTAGAATGACTCATTAATCTTAAAAGAAGAATACTTATGAATACATTCTTATTTATAACGACAGCAGGAAGAGTAAGATGATTTGTGAGACAACAACTACGTCGATGACGTACTCGATCAAGCTGTTCGCATTAAAAATGTATATGAGAGAGAGAACGTCAATAACAATAACAATTCATAGTCTTTTTTACATATGTTGAAGATCATCTCGTCTGATGACATATATCACTCCGCCTACGTTATCGAAAAATGAGTACGGAGGAGTCACTTTTAAGTACATATATATAGATGCGCAAGAATAAGGAAATTCGACTAGTAATCATTTAAAATGATTGTCGAACACATACATACTATTCCCAAGGATAATATACTGTAATTATCTCTTTTGCCGTTCGTATTAAATATAACTTCGATGCTATTCACTATATGCATGTTTAAGAGATAAATTCAAATACATATATACATTGTTTTGTTCTCCTGGGAAATTATCTAAACATGAGCGGCATTTACATTTCATTGAATGAGTGTTGGCTTCATTCCATCATCGCCACTATAGAGAAAAGCGGCATATAAATGCAAAGAAATATGTATGTGTCAATGTTAGATACACTTATATTTATTCTGTAGCAAAAAAAAAGAAAGACAGACAGACGGGGATAGATGCTGAGAACCAGTTTTCTTTTCTTCTCATGTTGTTATTATTTTTTGTTGTTTATCCTGCCACATACAACAAACAGCTTGAAACACAGACGAGTATATATGTTCTATTTTCTCGAAAATGCGTCTATGAAAACAAGACAAAAACGGTAATAGAAATGAAACAGATGCGCAATTGACATTCTAAATTTCTTGTATGAAAAAGAAAACGAGCAGGTGTAAAAAAAGAAATCTATCTAAGGGCTTCAATATACACGTCACTTACTTATTTAAATACAAAGACAAAATATAAGATGGTTGATGATGAATGTATTACTGGAAATATAACGCGACATATGACTGTATGATTATAATTTGTAGAGAAATTATTTAGTACAAACTATGATTCGTAATTTTTTTTAGTTGTGCTCTACGAATACTTGTCACACATGATATTTTTGTTCTTTCTCTTTTTACATATCTCCCGATGATCATGTGCTTAATTACTCATCAAATCATTTTTTTTTCTTCTTTGCGCAAACAAAAGACAAGATGATGCCGATAAAAGATAAAAAAAAACAACAAAGAATGTTCTTGCTTAGTTACTTACTATTACGCATATTTATGAAATAAAGAAAATCTTTTTTGTGATTGTAATATGTCGTTTGTCTCATGTGGACTGAATGAAAATTACTGAATGAGTATGAATCCACCTTTCTTTTCTTTTTTTCTTTCTTTTTTACTGTCTATTTTTCTTGCTCTTTTGTCAACAGAAAGAGAGTAGTCAGTTAACAGCGACAAAATGAGAAAATGAAAGAGTGTGTACGATGGCCGAGAATTAGGTGACGAACGTGAGTGCACGTGCTCGACGTTGTTGTTTTTGTAGGTAAAGCAAACGACGCAAAAAACGACACACGTAAAATGTTGAGAACGAAGAGAAAGAAAAATTTCTTTTCTTTTTCTACGATGATTTTAAAAAAAATCACCTGACTTAATGTATGACATAATAATTTGAATAACGTCAAATCACACGACATTATTTATTTAAAGAAAAAGAAACAAATAATATTTTGAAGGAAATATTTTGTATAAGATTTTTTTTATTGATAGAAATGTCATTTGAAAAAGTAAAAAATATTGTAGACGTATCAAATGTAGACAAGGCTATGTCTGATAAAAATTTCACGGTATTTGTAATTTCTTGTGATGCATATATTTACTTATAACAAGGACATATAAATAAAATTTCTGTTTAAACATTCTTTATCTAGTTTATAGTGAGAAAAGAAAACAGAAAGTGTAAACATATACCATTCTAGACATGATCTATTAAATGTTACTTTGCCGTTCTCTAATAGCAAAAGATATATTTCTTTATTATTTTTCCATATTTTTCTGATGATAAATTGAATAACGATTAAGACATTTACGTAGAGCTATATATATCTATTCATATCAGTGAAGAAGATAAATATTTTCTCAAATTATACTAACGATTGACAGATGTTTAATTATTGGTCAAGAGCAAGACGATCGCAATTGTCTCTATGTCATTTCGTTATGCGAAGTCAAGGATGATAATAGGTTAATGGTTCTTTACAGTTGACTGTCATATATCATACTAGCAATATTGATGAATGATTGTATGGTCAAAAGTCAACTATATATAAAAAACGTATGTTTATGTTCAATAAACGTATACCTATATTTATATATTCATTTGAAAATGAATAGAAATAGAAATGAAGTTTTATCGCTTATCCAGAATATCAAGAAAGAAAAAGAAAATGACTGGATTGGACTTTACGTACATCGTGTATATAACATTTCATTTATTCACATGAAACACTTACCAAATCCATAGTTATTTTTGTTTGATAGTATAAGTACTAATGGTTCCATAGATTTGTTGTTTTATAATAATAATAATAATAATAAATACAGATTTTTAAGAAAAAAAAGTAAATGATCTGTCTATATTATGATTATTTGTTTAAAAAAAATCATATAAGAAAAAGAGATAAATAACAGATTAAAAGACTAGATAAACTAGTACGATATTTCTTGGTTAAAATAAATAAAAATGAACTATTATAGTTAACAAATAAGATACATATAAATATAGATAAAATAGCATAGCTATTTTTCCTTTTCAATTATCGATTTTTATTTTTCTCTTGTCTATGAACAGTTAGAATATATTTTCCCTCGATATCTTTGTAGTTTAAATAAATTGCGCATATAAATTTTATTATTTAAATAAATGCCAAGAAGTATATTATTGTCGTTCTTTCTCTTTCGTCTCAAGATTTTATATTTATCACAAATCAAGAGGCATTATGGACGTCGTCTGATGACGTTCGATTTTCTCCGAAATAGAAGAATAATACATTTAAAATGAAAATTTTCATTCAAGGACTTCTACATTTGTTTTCTTATTGGTATGTCATTTGAATGAAAAGAATACACACAGTTTTACTACATAGACAGGAATCTACATCGTAGGGCTTCCAAAATAAAAAGCCAAGTGATGTATAAAAAAATTATTATAATAAAATAGTAATTATTTATCAAGTTTTTGTTAATACTAGAAAAGGCGTATATATTTATTTCCTGTTAGAGAAGTTGTCAGAATCGATAATTATTGTCATTCATTTTTATATTAGTCTAGTAATTTAAAAATCAGAAATGAAGTCATACTGTCTAACCCGGAACATCATTATCTCTTTTTAATTTGACTAGGAGAGGATATGTCTGACGTTTATTGATATTTATTTGAGTTGTATATCATTAGTAAAAGAGTGTTTGTAAAGATGTTATTCAAAAACAAATTTTATAAATATTGTAGAAGTCTCAAGCATAGCTAATTGAATTCTAGGGATGTTTTATGAATTATTTATTGTGTAAATGCATAAGATTTTTTTCATTACTTTCTAAATTTATCGTCACTCATTTTAGTTGTCATAGAGATCAAAACTAAATCATTCTATATTGTCTGTTTCATTATATTTATTAATTGTATATCGTGTCAATATGAAAAACTTATATTCAAGTTTTATTTTGAATTATATATGATAAATAAACATGCAATAATCACCGAGATATAAAATAAAAATAATCATGAAGGATTAAAAGAAAAAACTAAATGTATTTATTATATTTAGTATAAAAACACACAATAACAATATTGAAGTAAAACATAGATAAAGATTTCTAATTATATCTTTCAATATTTAAATGAAGTTTTTATCGTAAAATTCATGAGCATTCTCAAATGATAACTGCTTATTGATTCATTGTAAAATCGAGATTAAAAGGGTAAAACTAAACAAAAAAACATTCAAATTGAGTCTTTTGCATTGAATGATGTTGAATATTTTTTATCTGTTAATGGAACATCCATTAACATTGTTGTATTGTTATTAGTATTATGATGATGAATCGAATGATCTTTTATTTCTATTTCATTTTGTTCTGTTTGTCGTTTAACTAATTGATAATATAAACCACGTTTACGCATTAAATCGATATGTGTACCTTCTTCAACAATTTCACCATATTGAAGAACAAGAATTTTATTTGCATTACGAATTGTTGATAATCGATGGGCGATAACAAGTACTGTGCGGCCAATAACGGTACGTGCTATAGCTTCTTGTACCTATAAAAACGAGAATCATTGTATTAAAATGAATTAAAAGAAAAGAAAATGAATACCTGAGCTTCAGCTTCGGCATCTAATGCACTTGTAGCTTCATCTAATAATAGAACATTCGGTGAACGAATTAATGCTCTTGCTAATGCAATTCTTTCTATAAAAAGAAAAATATTTGTATTAATCAGTTAAAGTATTGTATTATCTAATTAACTCTTTCAGGATGGGTGGTAGACCGTATATACCAGTCTTTTTTTAAAAAAAAAATGTTATGTATTGACGATAGGAAGTAGCTGTGTACACGTTAGAAAATACTTATAGCAGTGATATATATCTTATATGACTTGCGTAATTATAACCTATTTTTTTCCTTTTCTTCTATGCACTAAATTATTAGGCTGTATCGTCCTGATCTATTTTCTTGCATATACAGGTGAGCATGGTGTTGTTAGGTGATCCGATCGTGTGCACAGCATATTAATAAATTTGAATAAAAAACAGAACTATTTGATTCTTTAAAATCTATTTTTTTTTCAAAAAAATAATCCCATCCTGAAAGGGTTAATCTAAAAGTCAAGAATTCTGATCGAAAATTCTGTCTGTTAAGTTCTATTTCGTTCTAATTAACGAGTAATTTTTTTATTAGATAAAAACTAACGTTTTTGTCCGCCAGCCATTTGTACACCACGTTCACCACATTCCGTATCATATTTACATTGAAATTGGGATATAAATAAATGAGCATTCGCCATTTGAGAAACAAGTTCAATTTCTTCTTGAGGTTTTTTTTCGATAAGACCATATTGTATATTATCTCGAATCGAACGAGCATGAAGAACAGGTTCTTGACTTACAAGTGACACCTAATATTTTAAATAACAATAAAACAAATATTCATTTAAAATAATAAATTAACCTTTTCATGATAAAATTTATAATCATAATTTTGAACAGGTATACCATCAATTAATATTTCACCTTCATCTGCTTCATAAAAATGTTCCAATAAACTAATACATGTTGTTTTTCCACCTAGAAATAAAATATATACATCATAGATCCGTATTTTCAAACTTTCTATTTAATAATATTATAATCCTATGTCGGTCGTAAAAGTCTATTCGATGCTATAGTTTTTAGTTAATAATTCAAATCTTACTTCCACTTGGTCCAACAAGTGCAACTTGTTCTCCTGGTTGAACAGTAAATGAAATATTTTTTAAAACTTTATCATTTTTTCTATTTGGAAATGCAAATGATACATTCTTAAATTCAATACGTCCTTGAAATTGATTTGGTTTTTCAATTCCATTATTAGTAATTTTTGGTATTCGATCAATATATTCAAATAATTTAACGGATGCACCACTTGCTTTCATTAAATCTGCATAAACACCATTAATTGCCTAAAAATGAAGAATAATATTGTTTTTGTTTCTTTGAAATAATTCTTACATCAAGAGCATCGCCTAATCTTTGTTGATATAGAATAAATGAAACGAAATTAGAAACACTTAATCGATTGTTCATAACAAGATGACCACCATAAGCAAGTGTACCTAAATTAAGTAATACAATTAATATTTGTCCATTCCATAAATAACCAAAATCTAATAAAATAAATTTTGAATAAATATCGAAAGAAAATTTAAAACTAACAATAAAGTGCTTGTCGAATAGAAAATTTTCTAACAAGATCATTTTTTTTATGAAATAAACGAATTTCTTCATCTTCATCTATCCAAATAAAAAAGGAAATTAGAAAGAAATTATATCGAACGAAAAATAATTTACTTGCAAAAGATTTAACAGTACGAATTGTAGCAATAGCTTCTTCAGCTAATGAATTTGATTCAGCTAATGCATCTTGAACTTTTTTTTGTTGATTCTATATAAAATATGATAAGAATATTTTTAACTTTTTAAGATTAATATCAAATTTACAGCCATTAAATCTCCATAAAGTTTACCAGTACCAAATGCTAATGGACCAGTAATTAATACTAGAAGAAATAGATTCCATGATAATACTAACATCATAATAATTGTTCCAACTAGAGTAAAAATGAAGAAAAATATTTTTTTTAACAAAAGACAAAATAAATACTTACTTGTTTGAACAGTACTTCTTAAAAATATATTTAAATTAAGTGATACAGCTTCACTAACTGTTGTTATATCCGAAGCTAGACGGGAAGTGATTTCACCCGTTTTAGTTTCATCAAAAAATTCAATATCTTGTTTAAGAATACGAGTAAAAACAGTATCACGAAGACGTTGAATTAAATTTGTAAGCGTTATTGAAAAAATAAAACCACGAAGGCCAGATGTAATCACACTAAATAATAATAATAATGGTATATATTAAAAACGCCGGAAAAAAAATATCGACTGAAAAAAATGTCGAATCAATGAGTAATAATGCTTGACGAAGAGTGAGGATGAGGGTGAAGATGGGTGAGGGTGTGCGAATGTGGGTAATGGTGTGTGGATGTGGGTGAGGGTTAGGATGGGTGAAGGTGTATGAATGTGGGTGAGGGTTAGGATAGGTGAAGGTGTGTGGATGTGGGTGGGTAGATGTGAGTGTGGGTGAGGAGAAGGGTAGGTGCGAAGATGGGCGGTTGCGTGTGGGTATAGATAAGGATGAGAATGAGGGTGAGAGTGAGGGTATTTTGGTCAATAAGGATATCTCAAACGTTTCGACATTTTACATGCTCAAAATGTTTCTTTTTCGATCGTTTTCATAGTAAATCATAATAATAATATACTCATTCTTTATATTTCTTTTTAAAACAAAAATCTTACAATATCACAGATATGCCAAGATACCAAAATATATTCGTAAGAAATTTATGCCAGTTCTTATCAACCACACAGCTTATGATTTCACCGGAAAAATATGGTTGAAACATTTCAGCTAAAAAAAAGATAGTGGAAGATACATATTGATTAAAACTGAAGTTATTAAAATTACTCGATGCTGCTATTAGTAAAGAACAAAAGCCAATAATATATAATTTCCATTCTTGTTTACCAAGTTTAATAATTCTCCACCATAAACCACTGGTTTCTTTTATTTGAATTTTCAAATCTTTGTTTTCATTCTTTGTGGATTTAGTCGATCCATCTTCAACTATATATCAAAAAATTATTTTAAATAAGAATTAATTAAAAATCTATTTACTTTCTACAAGTAAAGGATCTATTTCTTCAGTATACGAACGTGTTGGTTCGTTAATAAGAAGTTGCCGTTCTGGATCTGTATGTTTAATATTAATAATACGAAAAAATATAATCCAAATAAAAATTCCTCCTAATGCAAATAATGGAATAAAAATAATAGCTAAATAATCGAATCGATCGAATTGATAAGGTGATGTTGCATTTCGTACATTTGTCCATTCATAAAAAACAAGAAATTTACTTAAAGAATATACATAAGTAATTAATTGAAATATAATAAGTACTACACGAAAATATTTGAAACGTTGACAACGTTTGAATAGAAAAATAACGAATGAAGAAAATATTAAAACAAAAGAATCAAACAGCATAAGAAAGTAAAGTTCAACATATGTTCGAGGATAGTCAAATGAATATAATTTGTCAATTAGATTTAGATGAATATTAGTAAATCCACGTGTAAATATACATGTAATAGTTATAATTATCAAAATAGCATAGATTGTAGGAATTAAACGTAATATATGATACCAAGACATAATTCGAGATGAATACTGTTGTACGAATTAATCTAATGTAGAAATTTTTTAAATAATAAAAAAATACGTATTTTATTCAACTGAATATTTGAATGACGTTTATTTATCTATAAAGAATAAGATAATATGCATATTTCATTTATTGAAGAGTAAAACATTAAAGAGCGAGAATATGAATTATCTTAATACTTATCACTATTAAAGTGATAATAAATCATAGTATAGATGAGCGGAAGTCGAGTTCGAAACAAGTTTCGAAGACTTTACCTTACAATTTATTCTCGCTGTTTGAATTTCGCCATCATTGTTCTCATCATAATTCCTAAAAAGTTTCAATACATTTCGATGCTAACGAAAGATTATGCTTCGTTTAATCGAACTGGTTTAACATATCTCTTTCGAATAGTAGAAGATGTATGATCTGAATCTTGCAAAGTACACGTCTTATGATTGTTTTTCCGACGAGAAAAATTATTTTTGTCCGTCAGTTTTTAAGAAATGATGGTAACATCATAGATCTTCTTAAAGCTCAACTTAGCATATTAACTTGAAAAATGATTTCAATCAGTTGGATTGATCACAAGGCTAATGCTTTGTAGCAAATCATTCATGAATCATAAAAAAACTTAACGAATTGTAAAAACGATTATAATTAGTTCATTTTATAACTCTTCTAATATGAAAACTGAATATCTTACTTTGTTTCTATACGAATATCTCAGAGCATATATATAATTATAACTGGCGTCTTATCTACAGTTTGATAAATCTGATTCATACAAAAAAAACCCTATTTATCATACCTGTATATTACCAATAATGAATATCTACGAGGAAGTAGCCGTTGGTCGAATGAGTTTTCGACGAAGAGTGTATTCGGCGAAAACTCATTCGATAAACGGCGCCCCACCCTTCATTATCATCCAAAATAATATTTTTTTAATCTTCAAAGAATACACAAACATTTATTATAGTCAAATTAAAACACATACATATAAAACATATAAATAATTATTGCTTAGTTTTTTTTTTGATATCATTATTTAAAAAACTCTTACATAAACATATAAAAAAAACACATAGTAGACAAATGAATTTTATATTCTTATGAAAAATCTCGGTCAGGAAAGACAGCTGGTGCAATACATGTCCAAATATATAATACTACACATAACCAACTTGATACAATTTTAACCCAGAGTGATGCTAAATTATTATTATATGTATGGAAATCTTTTGCTGGAGTATACCAACTAAAAGAAGAAGAAGAAATTATAATCAAAAAGAAAAAAAAAGGTCATTTATTTTACTTTGTTAATGTCATCATTGCATATAAAGTAGCAAGTAAAAACATAAAATGAAATAATGAATAATTATATGCAACTGATCCACGTTCATTATCATAAACACGTTGATGATGTTCTTTATCACTACCTAATATCCATTTATCATCTGTAACTGAATTAACTAATTGTGCATCATCTAATATAGTTGAATCAAATGATGATAATGATGTTGACAGAAATAATTTTTTAGCTCGAGTATTACGTGATGTAGTTATAACTGAATAAAAAAGTGCACAAGTAAATAAAATTAAACCAATAATTGTTATTGGATCAGATAAACTTTGTTGTCGTATTGCATCTGATGGTGTAGTTGAATTTGTTGGATGAATTATTGTATTAAAACTTGGATTACAACGACTATCTGGATAATTACTCATTGCTGACCATGTATAATAAATCACATAAAGACTAACAAATGATGATTGAAGTAAACCGCACGAAGAATTATATTCACGTACACATGGTAAAATTGATATTATTGATAATAGTATACATAAAAACATATTGAATGAAATAAAAAATGTATGTAAACGACAAATCGAATGATCTGGAGCATAATAAATATAAAATGAAACAACTCCAGTTATTGTTAATGCATAGAAAAGAAATGTAAAAAATAATAAACCATAACCATGTTTTTTCGATCCAAATTCAACATGATCAACCCATGATTCGTTCCATCTAAAAAAAATCTTGATGAATAATTACTTTTCGAAATAAACACTTACGAATGAACAAAATCAATTGATAAAAGTAATTGCACAAGAATAAACTATTTAAAAAGAAATTATATAAAATATACTTTTATATTAACTCACTAGAAATCCACCAATAAGTCCAACAATCATAAATGCATAATCAAAACCATTATTTGGAATAAAAAACGCTCCGATGATCATGCCAATAAGTATTATTAACTTAAATGCCCAAAAACCATTTTGAATTTTGGCACGAAAATCTTTTGATGTTTTAACTTTTATCATCTAAAGAAATTTGAATTCATTGGAATTTTTTTGTTTAAATAATCAATTAACTTACTAATATTGATAAAACAAAAAAGAAAATTGTTATACCAAATGAAAGACGATAAACGGCTAGAGATCCGACTAATTTTGAACAATCAATTGCTGGTACTAGCATGTTATTTGTATTTGATGTGGAATGTTTACATAATGATGGAATTTTATTTAATGTTTGTTCAAGACCGGGTATTAACATAATACATGATGTTATAAGACCAACAAGAAGAATAAGACCGTAAGCAATACGTGTTGATGTTGAACCTTTACATGATGGACATGCTGAACAACAAAGTGAACAAAATGCATTACCAAAACAACATGCAACAGTTGATCCTAGAGAACCAATACAAATACCCATGTTTTTTAAAGTACAGATCTAAAAATCATATATAAACCCAATGGTAATTCAATACTTCAATATTAATGAATAGAGAAAGAAAAAAGATAGTATAAAAATACAATAAGGTCAGCAATTAAAAACAGCTGAAATAGGTTGAAAAGTTAAATCATCGAAAGAAAACATTTGTTCATTGATAACATAATTGTTATTGAATGAATCAAACAGATGTTTTGTTTTTTATCTAAAATGATAACACACATAAATATCTATGCAATGAGTCAGATAATAATGAAACGATCGATTCAAAAGATCAAGTATAAAAACAAACATTTTATAAATCTATTTTCGATTACTTTTTCTTTCTTTTCCTAAGTTCAAAAAAACATACACCTTACATCAATCTCTTTTTCTTTTTTCAAATTCAAACAATAAGTGAGTTTTTTTTCTGTTTATTTTCACGACGACGATCTTTCTTTTCTTTTCAACATTAATTTTTCTGATGTTCTTATTAAGTTTTTGTTTTTCGTTCTCTTAGAAATTCGTCGTTCAACACGCATAAACATCAACACTAACATGAAGAAACTTCGCACATAATAGACAAAAAAAAGAAGAGAAGATATGAGAATTAGACGAAGACAAGGGAAAAAAACATGGGAATACATAAGACAAAAGAAAAGAAAAACGAATAAAGTTTTGCTCAACAACTACACTTTACAAACATAAATCGACGATAACAATAACAACATGAAAAATAATATGTAAAACAGTCATTTGGAATAAATGTCAGAAAGGAAAACAATCGAATGAACAAAAATAAAGAAGAAATAGTCGAAATAGAATAACACAAAAAAAAGATCGGCTATTTGCCGGGTTTTTTTTTATAAAAGAAAAAGCAACAAAAGTATCTGAATATGTTTTTTTACCTGATTAAATCACCAAAAAAAGCATATTGCAATAATCATTTTAAGAAAATAGTGAAGATAGAAAATAAAAAAAAACACATACTCTATCTATCTATCTATCTGTTTTTCTTTCTGTATAGAAAATATATATCTGACTCATGTAGTTCATACTGATATGACTTCAGTTATTTGAAGTTGTGCTTCTTCATTAACAATAATTTCATGTTGTTGTTTTTCTAATGATGTTGGTGGTGTTGGTAACCATGACAATCGATTCACAAGATTTCGAAAAGGTCGATTGTTAGTTATTGGTGGAATAAATTTTGGGCGTTTTTTATAAACATTTTCCTTTAAGAGAAAAAGTTTGGTTTTGGTTTTTTTGAAAAAATGAAAATAACTTACAAGAAAATCTAATGAGATATTATGTATTTGTATTGAATAAATCTCGTCGATGGGTATAGCAGGTGATGGTCGAGAAGCTGGTATTGGTATTGACATTAAATTTTGACCAAAATAAAGTACATCAAAAAATGGTTTCATCCATTCACTGCATACATAGAGATCATCATCATTTAAAGCTAAAGAAAATAAATTTTTTTCAAACGAAATTTCATAGCGTACGGACGGATCATCCATAAATGATGTCTAAGTAAAAATCTTCTTATTCTATCTAATCCTGTTTATTTTAAGCAAAAGCTTTCTTATGTAAAAATGTCGACGTATAGAGTGCGGGTGTAGGTATTCTTCTGTGTTATACGCACACCCACACCCTTCTTTTCTTTGTATCTCATGATATCGACTTTTTTTGTCAACATTTTATCGTGGACGTTTGACTACTTTCCCACTTTTTTTACTTACAAGTAATCTGTTCAACAGGCCAATGCGGTTTACAAGCAAGAATAGCTGTTGCAGCTAGTACATTCTTTGGAAATTGTGAATATTCAATATCGAGTGAACATAAATCAATTAACTAAATATATATATATATAAATTTTTTATTATATTAAATAAACAAAAACTTACTCGAGCAACCAATGAAAATGTTTGTAGAAACATTGGTGTTCGATGTACATTTGTTAAGATTGATGTTTTTAGAATTTCACTGTCTGACAATGACACTGAAGATTTTGGAATATTTGATATTGATATACGTCGTTTTTTTATACAACGATCATTATGAGATGGTGTTACATTTGTTGATGATGGTGATGAAGAATTATTATTATTATTAATCATTTCAAGATCAGATTCAAGTTGAAGATATGTTAATAACCAACTAATTGATGTCACTGGATTAATAAACCAGTTTAATGCCTAAAAAAATTATTTATCAACTTAACATTTCTACTAAAAATTTATATTTACATTCATTATATCTAATTCCATATCAAGAATATCACCTTCATAATAGGCTTTATCAGTAACATATGCAAATTCAGATATACGTGGTGGATAGATTTCCTAATGAAAGAATTTCATATAAAAAAGTTTTCAAAAAAAAAACCTTACTTCAATTTTAGCTGCTATAAATAATGATGTTATACCAAGCAATTGAAGTTTAGCTTTAGGTAAATTTGTTGTATTACATAAATACTGATCAATATAAGCAATAGCTAAATGATATGTTTCTCGATGAAGATGATAAACTTCTGAAACCTTTAAAAATAGAATTTACTTAAAAAAAGAAAGAAGAAAAGAAATTGTCAATTACTTCAATTAACCAATCACATAAAACACTTCGCATTTTCGATGTTATAGCTGGATGTGCATCAAGAAAATTTGAATGACATTTATATGTTTCATCAAACGTTTTAGCCATCATATTTGACCATAATGCATGAGAACGATACCAAGGTAAAGGTACAGATGATATATCAAGATGATCAATAATTATTCCATCATCTTGATCATCCTCTTCTTCCTTATTACATGTCGATATAGAATGTTTTACCATGATCGTTTCTAAAAATTGAATATGAACCGTCTTTTATTTTCAATTCAGATATTATATCATAGAATAATCTGTATTTTACATAAGAAATTTTCTTATTAGATTTCAATGGCATTTTGTATATGAAATACTATGTTCATTCAATAGTCTTTTTAGTTGTATTTGAAAAATATAAACACGCTTGATCTTTATAATTATAACATTCAATAGAATTTCGATTGAGTTTATTATATCCATTGGTAAAATCCAATCGGAAACAAATATTCATGAATTTTGAAGTCTAACTCATGTATTAACCATTGATTTACATCGATCTTGAATTTTATTCATATCAATAACATATTTATCTTTTCAATTATCCGATCAAAAAATTTTCATAGGAAAACAACACTATCTTTTCAATCTACACTAAACTAATTTATTACAACTACTTTTTTTTATATCATACCGTATTGTTTATGTTTGTCGTAATTTTCTTTGTTAGTGATATCCTTACCAGCATTGTCTTGCCGTAACTAAAATAAACAAAGAAAAAAGAAAGAAATTATTTACAATTCTTATCAATCAATTGAAATTTGTTTATTTATTTCTTTCTTTGAATTTTCTATTGGATCACTTACATATAGATGTAATTCGGAGTGAAACCATTCCGATCGATACTGTTGCTGCATGAAAAAATTATAAACAAATGACAATATCAAAATAGAAGATTTAACACTTCTTTTATTGTCCTCCTTTCTGGTTTTGTTTGCTAGTGGAATCACTCTATATATATGTACGTACGTAAAGGATAGAAAAGAAAAGAGGAAAAAATCACACAACAACAAATAAAAATAATAATAAACAAATTTGTTAAACTCGTCGAGGTGTAAAGCAGCGAACATGATGCACATAACTAGACAAGACCTAATTTTTTCACAAAAAATAATTTAGAATTTTGTGAAAATAGATAAAAAAAGGTCTTGTATAGATTGTGCAACACCTTCAGCAGCATGAAGAATAGATTTTTTTTGTGTACACCTTTTTATTAAAAAAACTCGAGTATTTATATAGGAGATGAACAAATTTGAAAGAACTACGTCAGTTGTTCATTTTTAACTAACAGAAATCGATATGCGAATCTTTTCTTTTTCGTCTATTGAATAGATATCAGCAACTGACACTTAACATAGAACAGGTGTGCAGATACTAATGAGAGGAGAAAGAAGAAATGCTTACATGACCTCGTCTTTTAGTTTTTTTTCTTCAACTGTTGATAATCAATGTAAAAAAACGTCAGTTTGAAAGTGTACTATTATACGAAGACAAAATAGTAAAATGTATCCGAAGTAGTGAAAGTAATAATGTGACGAAGAATAAGAAAATATTTCTAGAATGTGTTCAAAAGGACAATAAATCTTTTCGTCTAAGAAAATTCAAACGAAAAGAAGAGAAATAGTGACGCATTTTCTCCGACACGTGGAAAAATCATCTTTTCTGCTTGGGAATAAATGGGTATTTTTAGTTATCTTGTTTCGTTCTGTTTAATAGTAAAGCAATAGAAAATCAGACATAAAAAACGTTCAATAGTGCAAAATTTTCTATAATAAAAATCAGTATTTTATGAAAGATTAGAGAATATTGGTTTTCTAGCTTCTTTTTATCTATAATCATCATTAGAAGCAGAACCAAAGACTAGAAATACGTTGTGTACGTTTTTCGTACCAATTAGTTATACAAGTTCTATATTCTATATGTGATGAGACTTTATTGACAAGTCTCCTTTTTTTTCATTAGTAAATAGTTTCTTTTAAAAATTTTACAATAGACATTTTGACTTGTTCCATCCTTCCTTTGTCTAGATAATGTATATTAGTCTTGTAAAATAATTACATACAATTCATTTGATCTACATCAAGATATATCTTAAAATCTTGATGATAAAATAGAGTTTAATATTTTCCTTAACCGAACTTTTTTTTCATCCGCTTGATGTCAAAATGTGTTCAAAGTGTATGACCTTCTTGCGCTTGCCAAAAATAGTTCGACTAGAGTTAGTTGATTTCTATAGAAGATAAATCCTTACTTCAGTTTTAGCTAATTTTGATTTTCGTTCATGATTTGATGAATGATCAGGCTAAAATAATAATTTATATTCAATGAATTTCATCATTTCTGATTGTTTTTTTTATTTACCGAAAGTGATCTTTTTAATGTTCGAATTATTAACCTAATACCACCATCACTATTATCTGACATTATTGCTGGAGATGAAAATATCTAAAAATAATAAATAACTTTATGATACTTTGTTGAAACATATCCAAATAACTTTTTTAGAGTTTTAATGAAAAATAAGAACTTATTTAACGTAATGTTTGTTTGGTCGATGATAAAAGAAACTAGATAAAGTAGATTCGTTTTTCAGAAAGAAATATATAATGTACAGAATCGATATAAAGTATAAAGCAGCTGTGAATTGTCTATAAAACAGTCAATCTTGTTCAGTAAAATAAACAATCGGACGACGGTTGTCACACTGTTTATTTGCTGTTTTTTAATCTTTGTTCTTTTAAACAAACCATATATTGCATCTTGTTGGACAATGAATTAGATAAAGATAGATGTCACTATCTAATGAGTATACGTATACCATCAAAATAAATATATAGAAACAATTTGATATATTGAAATCGGTAGGTCGAAAAAATTATCGTTGTGAATCATATTCACTTGTATTCGATGTTATTCTCTGCTGTATAAATAGGTTCTATTCAGAAATTTTGTCCAACAAAATGAATGATACAATATATTTTATATAGATCATTGTCTTCTAATATGAATGACATAAGCTTCAAATCATTTGTAAATAAAGTATAGATCAATCAAAGGAAACTTGTGTAAAAGAACTACATAGAAAGCAGAATTGTTCAGTATATCCATGGATACTTTTTCTGTCTTTCATTTGATATACAAAGTGTTGTAGTTTTTAACTATCTTTCTTATATAATATGTTATGAGAGATTCTTCGATTATAAGTCACAATCGAATGTAAAATGGTATCAAGGTACGATTTTCTTATATTTCATCCAACACATGCCTATATATATTCAAGAGAAGGAAAATTATAGGCACTGAAACAATACTTTCAAAAAGTCAAGTATAAAAAGAAATGGTTTATGAAAAAAACAACAGAATATTAAAGTCATATTGGTATTCTAATCATTAGGATACGATAGTTCTTCCAATATAAAAGACCAAAACGATATATCGAACACTTATAAACGTATATATATATATATATATATTTATTTAAATTATTTTATTATGAACTAACACGATTAAATAATTAAACGCTTCGGCGATTTATCACAAACATATATTTATACAAAACATTCGAAAAGTTCTGATCATTTATTAATCTCTCTTATTAACCGTAGTACGCCCAACCTGGGTCATTTTGGACTCAGTCACCGTCAAGTTTTCATACAATGGAGATATTTTATTCTCTCGTACTTTTTAAAATCAGGATGTGAGTTGAGCGTAGGGTGAGTATAGAATATCTTGAAAACGTAAAAAAATCTTGATCGTAGTAGAGTTCCTATGAAAACAAAACAATTGAATGATATTGCGTGACTAATAAATGAGACATATTAAATTTCTTAAATGATCAAGACTTTTAGAAAGTCCTATTAGTCAAGCACATTATAAACTTTTTAGTATAATTATAAATCTCGTTTTCCTTATTTTTCTGGTACTGTGATGAGTTAGAAATAACTATCTCATTTTACAAAGATAGAATATATATTTTTTTAACATTGACTCTTTTGTCTATAGGTGTCTAATTACAGATATGAATATCATTATTACAAACGATCTTATTATCATCGACTTTCATTTCTTTATCATAGTTATTATCATTTTCTACTATTATTAATGAAAATGTAGAAAATCTTTATTGTTGTTATCCGAATGTGTTTTTCTTTGAATATATCAAAGTCATGATTACAATTACAAGTAAAAAAAACTCCGAAATATATTATAAATTTGTATGTTGAATAATGGACATTTATGTGCTCTTTTTTTTCTTATTAGTCTTCATTTATTATTTTGAATAAATGGATCATACAGAACTGAATCTCATTGACGAAGTAAGAGTAATTTTTTATTGTTTATCAAATTTTTTTCAATATATATATTTTCTTATAGAATAAACCAAATATTATTCGAAAGAAATCATCATTTTTACGAGATGGTTCATATCGAATATTTCATATTACAAAAAAATCAAAAGATAATAATGATAATCAAAATAATATCGATCTGATTATTGATAATAAAATTCAAAAGAAATCTTTAAAAATATCTAATCGAAATGGTTTGGTAAATATTAGATTAACATATGTTTTAATCTAGATTTTCTCTCTTTATAGAAACAATTTTTTTTATTTCATAAAACATCTTGTGATTCATCATCAACTGAAATTAAAACATCTCTAGCATCACGTCATACAACAAATGAATTATCTCCACCTGTTATCTATGTAAATCGATCTAAATCTTCTTTTCTTTCTGTTTAATTATATGTATATATAAATAGTCTAATACAACATCAGAAAATTTATTAAGAAAAACTAAATCAGATAATACAATTGATACATCGGAAACAAATCATATTGATGAAATAAATGTATATAAGAATTTACATGATCGTACAGATAAATTTGAACAATCACCAAGTAGAAAACAAGTTAGGGAGATATTTTATTTTTATTAAATATTTAAATAAGAAATTTATTTAGATTTTACATAATATGCACCCAGAATTACAAGCAAGTTTTCATCGACGACGAAAACGTTTTATTGTTGCTTGTGGTACTGTTACTATAGCATTAAGTGTTATCATTACAATTATTGTCTATGTTGTTGTTATGACTGTTAGATATATTACAGAAATTAATCAATCACAATTTTATCGTTATCCACGTATATGATTTTATTTTCATTAAATTAATGTTGTCATTTTTCTTTCCTCGCACTCATATTTATTCAATAAAATAGTTTTTTTTGTGTTATTAACAATTCGAATGAATGGATTAGGAATAAGCAATCATCTCTTTTTTCAATATTTATTAAATTCATAACTCTATGATTCTTATTTAAAGATTTTATTTGAATATTTATCTTAATATACTTAGAAATATTTTATATATACCACAGAACAGGAAGAAAGTAGAAAGGAATGATTCTCTATAGTCATTACAGACTTGGAACCGGTCCGGTTGAACTTTCTAGATCGACCTGACTGGTTTTTTATCAGATTTTAGAGCACAGAAACTAAATTAGTGTATTTTGCCTGTTTTTATTAATTTTCATTACTTCAACGATCAACAGATATGAACCGAAATATTGTTAACGGGCAAATTTACAATCATCATTAAACTTCCAAGTCTGAGCTTTGAGCTCTCACTTTCCCATCGCATGTGAGAAACTGAATCGACCGATTTTTACCATTTAGATCAAGAATTCCGATCGAAAAAATGGGCCGGTTCCAGCTCTGAGTCATTATAGTTTCAGTAGAAAGCATAGTATATCGTTTGTACTTCAAACATCTAATCTAGGATAAAAATATGTTTATCTAATCTTTACTTTTTAAATTTACATTAGAATATAATTCATCTTCTTCGTGTCAAATAACTTTATGTTACAAGATTATTTTCTCTCTCTCACAATATGGATTGGTTCGAAGAAACGTACGGATTATTTGTTGAAATGTATATCAGAATTAACTTATATAGAATAGAAAAATGTTAAAAGAACTAGCATATTAATAATCATATGAAAGAGATTATGTTAAAAATACTATATGTAACAAAAATGACACTATCAAATCTGAGAATATTTTTATAAGTTGATATTTTATTTTATTATTACATAAATATATTTATAAAAAATTTATTACCGGATGATTAAATTGAACATCTAAACCAAAAAAATAGACCATTTTGAATCCGATAAAACTATCTACCTTGAGCTATGCTAAAGAACGGAATCATATGATAGTGTAGCCTGTCGTGTCAAACTATCTCTCACTTCGTTATGTGCAACGATAGAGCCCTTGTAATATTCTTCAAAGAAATTCTCCTTCTATATATGTTAAAACATTCAAGTATATATGGATTTCTTGTTGAATTTGAATGAACGATAATACTGATAATTTATCTTTGAATATTTTTTTTATTAGGATGTGAAGTTAAGTACATATGAATGCTTATATTCAACGATAATTATTTAAAAACTGAGAAAAGGAATTGTTGGAGGAGCCCATGTTTTCAATAACATCGTGCGTTCATCGATAACATGAATAAGAGTTTCAATTTTATCTTGAGCTTCTTGTAATTCTGTTATTGTCTGTAATGGTGCTGCTGAAGATTTTTTATTTATAACCAACATATCAGTTATATAATTAATTTCTTGTTGAATGATTGCGTGAGTAATTTGAAAGCAATTTTTTAAAAAATGAAGTATTTTTAATTTATCAACTACTTGACTGTGATGATTGATAATATTATCAATAAATTCTTCATTAGATTTTATTGTTGATACATATCTAAAAGAATTATTTAAACAAAAATTTAATTTGAAAAATAAACAAACATACTTGGTAATATGTGCTACAATTTCTAACATTCGACTTCGTCCATCTGATGCATGTGTACTAGTTGAACTATCATCATTAACGGATGATGATAAAAGAAGTGGCATAAATTGTTCAGGATTTGTTAATGATCGACCATAAACTATCATTGATGATGATGCAATAAGAAGAACAAGAAATACTGTGGTCGACATATTTAACTATCTAAAATTTGAAGATAATAACTGATTGTAAATTAATCCGTTGGAAAGAAGAGATGAAAACACAACGAAACTTATATAAGGCTTCGGAAAGTAGCTATAAAAATTTTCACATATAGATTTCGATGTATCTTTATTTTATTTTTCTTCGTCAATCCATTTCGAAGGTAGTTCAAAAATGATTCCATATTCTATAATATCAAACCTTCACATTAGGTCATATCAACATGGAAAACTCCTATTTGAGTTTTCTTTATACCTTATTGTTACTCCTCTAAAAATTTTGATTTAAAAAAAATAAACGACTATTTCCTTTCTTACACAAGACTAATGTATTTCAAATTAAATTTTTGTTCGCCGTTAAAACATTTCATTTTATAGAAAAACAAATTATTTATACGATGATATAATTTAAAAAATTGAATAAAATATTTCAAACACGCTAAGGAAAATATAAAGAAATAATTCGATGTCAAATAAAAACTATTCTTTTTGAGGAGAAACAAACCGAGACTAGTAACATATTTAAAAAGTTCTTATCGTTGATTATAAATCTAAGATGAGAGTTAAAATAAAGAAAAATCTTTATTTTAACTCCTCTACGCCGCTATAAACTAGTACTTTCAGTGGATGTTCGACGAGAATATATATATATTGTAAATTTTATCATCAAGAAAATAGTGACCTTACAAAACTCCTACAACCCTTGTTATTTAACCTATTAAAAAGATAATTAACAGGAACTTGCATATAAAATTACAATAAAAGCATCGAAGTGAATTACTATCAATAATTACCAGATGTGTTTGTGCCATAAAATGATATATAAAAAAGTGCATTTCATACGAAGAATGACGCCATTTCGCTGATAAAAAGAATTTCTGGAGCTTGATACAATTATTAATTTACATCGAAGATTTGCCGAATAAAAGCACAGAAACTTTAAAATAGAATTAATTTAGAACATAGGAAGATTGTATAACTAAGTAAATAAATATTCTATATTAAAAATCAGAGTTGGAACCGGTCCGGCAATCCGATTCCGATCCGGCCGGACCGGACAAAACTGAATTTTTACCGGTTCATAAAATTTGAAAATTATATTTGTATTTCAAATTTTTTTTCTTACAAAACTAATCTTTATTTGTTTTTTTTTTGAAATATCATGTTAGGAATTGTTATACATATATGTTTTAGTTGAAAAAGAGCATGTGACAAAAATATTCGTATAAACTCATAATTTTGCCGGAATTTTGCAAGTTTGACGTCAAAAGTAGTTCCGCCGGATTGCTGCTGGATATTTGCAAGTTTAACATCACAAGTAGTTCTGCCGGATTGACGTCAAAAGTAGTCTGGTTCCAACTCTACTTATTAAGAATTCAAAGGCGATTTTATCACATAATGTTTGATAAAAATACTCCAATACCTGAACTATAAATGAACTAAATTAATGTTCCAAGAGAAACAAAAGAAATAATATGTACGTCAATCAATGTATTACAATTAATGTTCTTTTTTACTTATAAAACTTCATTGAACTTTCTCAAATGTATTCGTAATCATTTTTTTCATCTGTCGATAAATATCTTATCGTTAACCAGAATAAATTTATTTTTCGAAGTCATTGTAAAAGATGTCACAGGAGTCTTTGCATACTGAAAAAACGTTAAAGTATGTTTGAATAGGTTGTAGATAATAAAATGTTTCATTGTGAAAATACTTTTGAATTTGGTTAATCCATTCGACTATGAAAATCATATTTACGATAGAGTTTTAGTCGAATGTCTCATCAAAATTCTGTAACACATTGCTAGAACAATATTTGTATTGGAACCTTTGAGATAAGTGTCTAAGTCAAGGGGGAAGAGCGGAATCCAGTCGTTTGGATTTCAATGATTCCCAAGGATTCCCAAAGATTCTCAAGGATTCCCAGGGATTCCATAAACGATTCTGGATTCTAGGATTTCGCTCTTTCCCCCTTGAAGAAAGTACTATCAAAGTAGGAATAGTTTGACTAAAGTTTGCACATGTTATAGTTATGATGACTATAAGAAGTTTAATTGATTTTTCTTTGAAAACGTTTTTGACATGAAGTGATAAAAATTTTGTTAAAAACGATCAAAACTATCATTATTTAACTTTGTGTGTATCTCGAAAATGTCACATACTTTTGTATCTCCTACTCCAATGTTTGATTGAATATTGTAGTTTGATATCAATAATGTATTTTGGAAAAATTGTGAATTATCCTTTAATGTTCACCTTATTGACTATTACACAAGCCAATAAATTTTAGGCTTCTTTTATTTCATTGCTTCAAGATTGAGTAAAGCAAGTATCAAGTTAGAAAATATGATATATAAAAAAAAATGAAATTCACAGTATTTTTATGTAATACGTCGACCAAAAAGTATAATTCTTTTCGCTTCGATATTTCTCATTATTTGAGTTATTTCTTAAGACCTCAAAAACTAAGAAATCAATAGCTTCACAAATGATTATGATCAAAGATTGTTGAATGATCGTATTAGATTCATCATTAAAATATATTTACTTGGTTATAATAAAATACTTTAAGTTTATTCGAAAGAATAAAGGCATGGTACATATGAAGTATTCAAGTTATACAGGAATGATGAAAGAATAAAAGGTATATTTGAAATTCAGAGTGATGTGTAATAAAGAATGAAACTCACATTTAAGAATGTGAAAAAAATTGAACTCGGTTGTTATAAGTATCGGATACATATAAGTTCAGTTGATCATCAATTATTACCCAATAAGGATAATTCAATTGACTCTGCCTAATGCCAGGGGAACCTGTGACGCCAGCAACCGTTGTGCCGTTGGATTGACCTGCAACGAAGAATTGAATGCGATGGTTTCCTGAATCAGCTACATAGATATTGCCCCTTGGATCTAATGTGATGCCGACCGGATTATTGAGAAGTGTTGATGTGCTACCACTTAATCCATTAGGACCGCCAATGACGAGTGTCCAGCTAATTGCACCTAATACCCAACGAACAATATTATTGTTTGGATAATTAGCAATTAAAAGACTGTTTGAGGACGAATCAAAAGTAAAACCGTATGGTTGGGACACTTGTGTAACACCAGTTCCTGGACCATTTCCACCTGCAACTACTGTACCTGAAGAAGCATTCATAAGATATTGCATTATACGATGATTGAATGTATCGGCTATGTAAAGTGTACCTGTGCTTGAGTCACGAGCTATACCACACGGTCCATAGAAGGTATTGTTTGTAGATCCCGAAACACCTAAATTAGAATTGTATGGAATAATTTTTTTTCTCATGTTTTACTAGGCGTTCAGAGCTCAATATTCATAACAATATACTAAGAATGCTCATTATTTATTTCAATTTCTTAAGCTCTGAATGATCTGTTATTTTAGTCATATGTGACTCTTTGTAATCACTTACAACATAGATTAACATATTTATTCACGAAGAATAACTTAAATATCAAGAAACCAATAGCAAAACATTATTGTTCACAGGAATTACTAATAATTAAGTACATGTTCTCTCTATGCAACAGATTATTCATAGCAGACTTTGTTTTATGCAACTTTCAAATAATAGATTAGAAAAAGATATTAAATAAAGATTTCAGTCATAAAACGAAAATTAACAGTTTCGAGCATTTTTTTGTCTATCTTTTCATACCTAGAATACCAGCTATTGTAGTTCCAGATGATGCACCATTTGCCCAATATACAACTCGATGGTTATCTCTATCTGTAAAATACATATTATCATTGGAATCAAGCACAACACTGACAGGCAAGGTTAAAGCAATTGAGCTTGCACCAGCAGTGCCATTTGATAGGCCAGCCACCGTTGTACCATTCGATTCATTGATCATCCATTTTTGAATGCGATTGTTGTTAAAATCGGCAATATAAAGTGAATTGAATGAACCTAATGCGGTGCCATATGGCTCATAGAGCAGATTAGCTGATGTGCCTCCAGAACCATTACTCGCACCAGCTACAGTGATACCCGTTGTATTCCAACGATACAAGCTCGGAGTAGCTATACAAATAAATGAAATCTATAGGATACATAGCATATCTTACTGCTAGTTATAAAATCGATGAATGTATATCTTCTATCATATTTTATATAGCAGATTTATATGTATGATCCATTGAAGTTCACTACTATCTTTCAGAATCTCATATAAGCTATGAGAGTTAACTTGATGCCCCAGTTTGGATCTTGATGAAGAGATTCCATATGTCTATGCTTCTTTTCTTACTGTTAGCATTATGAGTCTTTGAAAATGATAGTAATCTGCAGAAAACTCTACTAATATATATGATTATTCTTAATAAAATTAGTAATGAAAATTTTCTAATACCAATAATCTCAACTTTCACTTCTATACTTTCTGCCATTCATACATTTTTACTGTCTGTGATGCTCATCTCTATAACGATATGTAATTTAGTCATGAACGAAAAAGAAATAGAAAGTAGACTAGGAGAAAAAATTCGATAAATTTCCTACCTGGTAATTTGCTCTGTTGAAAGTCATAAACTATTGTATTCATCGAGACGGTAAGATTTGCTGGTGTTACGCTTTCGCTATATAGCGAACATTGAGGAATAGTCAAACTATCAAATACAGCAGTATTGCAATTAGTAAATTGATTTGCACATTGAGCAGCACAAGTTACTTGATATTTTACGGTCAAACGAGTGATTATGGTGCCCGTTGAATTATAACTCATGTTATAGTAGACATGGCCTATTGTCGAAAGTAATACATTCGCACTTGTAGTCCAAATAAGATAATACATGCATAATAGATACAGATAGGCCATCTAGATTATCTGAAAACAAGTTTCTATAATTAATAACATTCATACTACATTTATTATTGTGTAGAATCTACATCTGTTAATATTAGCTTATATCTTTTGTCAATGCTTTGCTCTAAATTTACATCACTTCAGTTTGTTCAATCTCAAATGCTGACAGAGGATTAGGAACACTAATAAACTCTTCACCTGATAACTGCTCAATAATCACCAAAATGATCCACAAATTGAACTTATAAAACGATATCATCGTAAACAAGTGACACATTTTCCGTGTTTAACTGGTGTAACGATGATGCAAGATGAGGATATCGACAGACTTGCTCGAAGAAAATAAGAAGCAGAAGTGAAATGAAACTAACAACTGCTTCATCTTTGTATTTCCTTCTCTTTGTCTCTCCCCTTTCTCTTCTCTTGTTTGTTTAGTTGTCCATTTTTCATTGACTTCAACAGGCATGACTTTGTTAGGAATATTTTTTAAAGATAAAAAACAACTAGTAAAAGAAATTCTGGAAATAAGTCTAGCAACACTTTCGGAGAAAAATCTCCCTTCTCTTATATATTTTGCCTGGAACAAAACAAACTCAACAAATGTCTGTTTACCCTACGTCATTAAAACTATTACTTCATGCAAATTGATTTATCAGGAAATAATGATCATTAATATACAGATGCAACCCATATCTACTCGGTTTCCATGTTTGAAGAGATCTATCATTATTACTAATCAATGATAAATAAAAAAATCTTCTCTTAATTTTTCATTTCCAGTTCTTTGTGCCATTGGATTATTTATCCGAAGAACAAAGAAAACTTTTATCGCAATTTAGAAAATGAAGTATAATTTCATCTGTATTTGATGTTGTTTGAAAAATCTATGCAAACAAGAAAAGAATTTATTCGAGTTTTATATCGATAAAACGAATAATTCTAATTATCCTTTATATAATGAAGAAAATTGAATGATTTTTAGTTATTTTAAATTTCTTTAGAGAAGGAGAGTATAGAGAAACTGTTACAAAAAGAGATGTATGAATTTTCAATGTCAACATAATGAAAATGAACCTTTTTTTAGGATAAGAAAATCAACAACATTAAAAGGACATGTTTCCGATGAAATGTGAATAAATCATTGACGACAGTCGGAACTGTGTCCATTTATTTGTTCTATTATGTCAGTTTTTTTATTAGTCTTTTCTCCTATTTTTTTAACTGATCATTTATTTGTGCTCAGCTACCTTGTGTTTGATTTTGAGAAGTTTTTGCCTTGAGGATGAGTGTGGCTCGGAACGATGAAGAAATATGATAGCTATGACTACACCTACACCCACACCCTTTTCTTAAAATATTTAAATTTATTTAAAATAAATTAGATAATAGAGGTAACAACGAACTGGGGTGAGGGTGTGAATACTCTTTCCTTGTCGAGACATCCATACTTATCCTCAAGATAGTAAATTTATATATGTGATATGTGTCAACAATATCATCATTCCATACTTGCTATCAGATTTATATCGATTGTTTTACAAAATACTGTTTTTTATTACATTCTCTCAAAATGAATTTATAGCTTCTCGGCTTTTTTCGATTATTATAAATTTAAATAGTGAATTGGCATGCAATATTCATGGCATAATCGTTTTCTTTTGTTTTAATTACTAATTAAAGTTTAAAGTCTTGTGAAAGAAAGTCAAGGGGGAAAGAGCGGAATCCAGTCATTTGGATTCCGATGATTCCCAAAGATTCTCAAGGATTCTCAAGAATTCCCAGGGATTCCATAAACGATTCTGGATTCTAGGATTCCGCTCTTTCCCTCTTGGTCTAAGTTCATAAATATCAAAAACTCAATATTTTCAATAGAGTCGATTGTTGGTTTTTTGTATTTGAGGAGAAGAAGAATAATACAATGATCACATGACGAATTTAAACTTTTGAGTTATCCAAACTTCGTCAACTGTTATAAAACACTGTTAACATAGGACGTATGTTGACGGAAGTGCAGTGCAGTTTCGCTAGTGGCGAAGACTCGGAGAATCTGGATGATTATTTTCAAATAGGTATTATAATAATACAAATGTCTCGAATGCTATTAGTGAATAAATTATTAAAAATGTAAGTTTGATTTATAATTTATTAAATTCTTTGTATAAAATCTGATAAGTTCTTTCAACTTTTCCTAAAGCTTCATTTGCTGATGGTACAGCTGTTGTTATTAATTTTTGTTTAATATTTTCAAAACTCTGTTCAAGTTCTTTAATATTCGAATATTTTTCTTCATTTGTATTTAAAAATATATTTCGTAAATTTTCTTCTTGTAAAATCTTTTTAACAAATGCTAATTCATCACTTGTATAAGTTTGATTCGATATTTTTGTTTTATACGTTGTTAATTGCCTAACATTCATTTGTTTTATCGATTGATTATGACGTTTTTGAAATATAACTAAACCTGAAAACCATCGACGATTTTCAATAGAATTTTTATCTTTAATTTTTGTTGTTGGTAAATCTACACATGTTTGACACAATGTTGAAAACCATAATCCAATATCATAAAGTTGTTTTCCTGATGGAATTATTTCCTTATTAATAAATTCAATAGTCATTGTATTTGATGCTTTCATTAATAATTCACATTCTCCTTTACTATTGAATTGAAATTCTTCATATGTACCAATACAAATAAGAATTTGTTCCTGAGAATTTTCATAATTACTTGAACGAGTACATTTAAAATATTTAACAAATTTATGTAATTTAGGTGATATATGTAACATATGAGTTAATGGATCAATAAATAAAACTTCATTAATAGGTACACCACGAAGTACATTTAAAACATCTGAATCAGTTATTGATAAATATTTCACTTGAGTTAATTGTATACGAAAATCAAATATATCTGAATAGGAATTATCAATTGAATTAAATATACTTGATGTTTTATTACGACTAAAATCAAAATTAATTGGATAATCAGGTCGATAATATACTGAACGACATTGAAATTGTTCATCATATTGAAAATAAAGTATAGGATATTGATTATTTTTCGTTCCATGTATTTGTATTTCATAGGAATATTGATTTGAAGATATTTGACGATAATTAAGTTTAGTAATACTTGTTATAAGACGTTTTGGTGAAGTTACACCTTTACATGTATAAAATGATGTTCGAAATGATTTATCTAGAAGAAGTTCAAAGAGTATTTAAAATAAGATTTTTTAAAAATACTTTGATTTCGAAGATAAAGAAATTCTTTGAGTGATATTGGTTGATTATCTAGCCTGTTGTGTTTGATTATATATGAAATACCAAATCGTATATAAATAGATAGCGGCATAGTTTCTAATGATGTTGTTAATGATGTTATCGTTTCATCATAATCTTTTATAAAATGTTGAGAAGAAATTGTTGAATCTTGTGAGGGGTTTGATATTAATTGTGGAAGATATAGATTTGTACCAAGATGTAATGTATTACTAGGTCCTATATATGGAATAAACGTAATAAAATTATTTTCTTCTTGAGTATTTTCAAAATAAACATAAGTTAATTTTTTGTATGCATTTGGATCCTTCTCATTGTTAGTTAGATTTAATTGTTGTCCTTTTGGTTTTCTTCTTTTATGATTACGTTTCGATTTATCGACTGGTTTACGATCAATAGTAATATCAGTAGGAAATTCATAATCAGCAAATGGCAATTGTTTGTTGTCATCGTTGTCGAAAGACATTCTTGGAGAAAAAGAATAAAAAAATTATATTTACACCTTTTACTCGACTTCTGTAAATTTAGAGTAAAAGAAAGAATATTTTCATCATTCTCTTTCTTTTATGGCGGACATATGGTTACGGAATAAATACCGGTACGTGCAGTATAATACAAGTTCTCTTTTTTTTACATAACAGTACAGGTTTATGAAGGAACATCATATTCTTTTAAATATGTTTCTATGATAGATTATGAATTGATTTAAATTCGTATTTTTAATGACATCTGTTACTATTTGTGAAAGTCGAATATAATTTCACGATAATTACCTTGATTTTGCCGATTGACTAACCCTTCGATGTATTTGAGGAAAAAACGAACGAATTAGAATGATGATCACCTGAGTAAATTATAACGAAAAAGTACATAAATATCAATATTGTATATTATTAAAATGGGTTGTTGTGTTTCAGTTAAAACATTAGATCAAGATAAAATCCATTCATCAATAATTCTTCAAGCAAAAGGTGAAACTTACCGATATCATGGAACAACAGAACTCGGTCAATTTCAAGTATGTACATATTAATATTTTTGTTTTCTTATTTGTATAATCTATTATTGGCTTTCGATAGACAATGGGTAATGCAGAAATAATTTTAACAGAAGATGGTATTTATTCTCAAGTTATTGGTGTTGCTTGTTGTGGCGATCGAGGTTATTTACATATACCTCTACTTGCTATCACAAATATTCGTGAACAAGATTGTAAGTTTATTGAAACCGAAAAAACAACATAATCCTTCGTTGTATAATTATAGGGTTTAATGGTTTATATCGACTTGATCGCCCACATTTAATAATAACTTATAAAGTTCCTAATAAAGGTGAATATCAAGCTGGTTGGCAAATGAATCAAGCTGGTTATGAACAATGGAAAACATCTATCGAAAGAATTCTTGAAGAAAAATATATGCTTAAATTACAATAATGAAATTATTTTTATTATAACGAAACTTATCTGTCTATTATTTTTTTTTAAATAAAATAGCTAGCATATAGATTATACACTTTGTCATGATTTATTCTTGAAAGAAATTGGTTGATAATACTTGATTTATAGAATAGAAATGCAACATATAACTTTTTGCATCTGTAAAAACAAAATTGAAGTATAACAGTGACATCTATTTAACATATGATTTTTGTTGGTTAAAAAATATAGTTTTAATAATATGTATATATAACATCATCAGAAAAGTAAGTTAGCTTTTTTATTTCTTGAAAAGAAGTTACAGATTTTTGGTGAATTAAAATCCCAATGTCTCTTCTTCTTCTAGCAACTAGTAGAAAATTTCCTACGTCTATATTTCGTCAGCGGATTCTTCTATTCACTCCTCGTCTTCTTTCTTCAAATCAAGTTAATAATGATATCCTTCAAGCTCAAAAGCAACAACTTAAAGTTGAACCTCCATCACCTAAACAATCTCCTCGTCTTCGTCGTTATCATTATTATCTATTATCAATCGCTACTGGAGCATTAATAGGTACAATCTATGCTTTACGTCAAGTACGAAAACATGAAGGAGTTTTACCTGAATATGTTTCGAATCCTGAAATACTCGAACGTAAAGCTATGGATGCTCGACCTTTACCACCACCTGTAACTAAACATATTGAATTTGATGCTCCACCAAGAGTCAATTTTCCATATCGTTTAACACTCTATCAATATGTCACTTGGTTTGTATAATTTGAAAAAAAACAATATTTTTATTCTAACTTCTGTTTTCTTCTTTCTAGTCCATTTTGTTGTAAAGTACGTGCTTATCTTAATTATAATCGTATACCATATGATATTGTTGAAGTAAATAGTGTCATGCATACTGAAACAAAATGGTCTTTATATGATCGCGTACCAATTGTAGTTATTGAAAATGAACATATACAATTAAATGATTCAAGTATGATTGTATCAGCTATTGAATCATATTTACGTCAACCAACAAAAACATTTAAAAATATTATGAAATCGTATAAAACAATAGTTGAAAAAAATCAAAAAGGAAAATTATTTTTTACTTATCCAAATAAATATGTTATTGTTGAATCATCTATTAATGATCAATTAGAAGTCATTGAAAAAGAAGAGAAATCAGTAATTAATAATGAATCGAAATCATTCTTTGCTAGATGGTTTTCAAAATCTTCACCTCAACCTGAAATTAAACCGAAACAAATTCTTCAAAAGAAACATTCTAATGAAGAAAATCAATTCGAACGTCAATGGCGTGAATGGGTTGATAATAAATTTATTCATGTAGTATCACCAAATATTTATTGTACATTAAGACAATCATTAGATACATTTCGTTGGTTTTCAAAAGCTGGAGATTGGGAAGAAATATTTCCATGGTATCAACGATGGATTATTGTTTATCTTGGAGCAATTGTTATGCGTGGTGTTTCAATACATTTAAAAAAGAAATATAATATAAGTGATAATGTTAGAATATCTTTATATGAATGTGCTAATGAATGGGTTGATGCTATCGGAGATAAAGATTATCTTGGTAAGATTCATAAATTTGTTTTCTTTTCAAGAGTTTGATATATTTTCTTTTTCATAGGTGGATCAGAACCAAATCTAGGGGATTTAAATGTTTATGGTGTTCTAACAGCTATTCAAGGATGTGAAGCATTTCAAGATCTAATGACTAATACAAAGATTCAACCATGGTTTGAACGCATGAAAAACTTAGTCGAACCTCATCGTATTGATACTCCAGTTCGCCATAAACACTAAACATTTTTTTTTCAATATCGACATAAAAAAACCTATATAGATAATCATGTGCTGTTTGTTTTTCTTGATTAAAAATCGTAGCTATTTCAGATAATAATAATTTCTAATTTAATTGTATATCATTCATTTTCCATGATAAGTATATTCATGTAGTCTCTATTATCATTACTTTGGTTCAATATTTATTATCAAGCTCATTTTATGATGATTGCTTTCGAAAATGTTCTTCATGTATTGAATGATATGATCGGTGTAGGTACACATGGAACATCTGGATATTCACAAGAGGTTAATAACAAACTCTAAAAGATCATTACGTTTGCTTAGTATTTCTAATACTGATTATTACTTTTTTCAATAGTTCCTGAGATATTATATCATCAGGCAAGAGTTGATATACATGGATTTATATTTACTAGATTTTTAAGACTAACGAATTCTTTTGGGAGTCTATTGACTTTTATGTGAACAATAGCAATGAGTTATTTAACAATCCATATTTGTTATGTAGTTATTTTTTCTTGTTTTTTTCTCGGGTCATATTCGTTCGTGTACCCACCGGAGAATGCGTGATACGTAAAACGAAGGACGAAAAAAAAATGAATGTAATAATAAAAAAGAACAGGAGCATAGTATCAGCTTGTTTAAAATAACGAATGATATACATTTCTTAAAAGAATAGGATTAAGTACAATCGAAAACATTTGATTCTTTTTCAGTTTATCATATGTCGACATCATTGAAAAAAATTGCCATTGTTGGATCAGGTAATTGGGGAAGTGCAATGTAAGTTTTCTTATAATTTTTTGAAAAGAAAAAAAAGTGTTTTCTGTTGTTTTGTTTTCTAATAAAGTGCTGCTCATATTGGTGACAAAGTTCTTCAATTAGACACTGAATATGATCCACAAATTTTAATGTGGTGTAAAGAAGAAATTTTAGATGATGGAAGTAAATTAACTGAAGTAATTAATACAAAACATGAAAATGTTAAATATTTACCAAATAAAAACATTCCGAAAAATGTTATTGCTACATCTGATCTTAGTGAATCAGTTAAAGATGCTGATATATTAATATTTGTTATACCACATCAATTTGTTAAAACTACTTGTGAAGAATTAAAAAATCAAATCAAATCAAGTGCATTCGCTTTAACATTAATTAAAGTTAGATAAACATACGAAGAATTATTAAATAAAAAATTTCTGTTCTTTAGGGATTTTATGTTGATGAAAAAACCAATGAGCTTTTACTTGTTTCAGAAGTTATTAAAAATACGTTAAATATTCCATGTCTTAGTATGATGGGAGGTTTGTTTTATTAGATTAAAATTATTTATATTTTATTATTTATTTAGCTAATATTGCAAAAGAAGTAGCTGATAAAATCTTTTGTGAAGCTACAATTGGTTCTCGTGATGAAGAACATAATGATACTGTTCGACAATTAATCGATCGACCTTATTTTCGTATACGTTTTTATCCAGATATTGAAATTATTGAAATACTTGGTGCTTTAAAAAATGTGATCGCTATGTGTGCTGGTTTTGTTGATGGTTTAAAAGCTGGTTTTAATACTCGAGCTGCTGTATGTTATGATTTTCAATTCATTCATTTGTAAATAGAGAATTTTGTTTTTCTATAGGTTCTTCGATTAGGTTTTCGTGAAATGATTAATTTTTGTCGTTTATATAAAAAAGAATCAACAACAGATATATATCTAGAATCATGTGGTATTGCTGATTTAATTGCATCAGCATTAGGTGGAAGAAATTATAATGGAGCAAAAAAAATGGCTGAAACAAATAGATCATTAGAAGATATTGAAAAAAAAGATCTCAATGGACAATCATTACAAGGTCCGGGAACTGCAAAAGAAGCATATCGTTTTCTTGAAGGAAAAAATCTATTAGATCAATTTCCATTATTTCGTGATGCGTATCTTATTTGTGAAAAGAAAATTGAACCGAAAAAATTATTAGACAATTTATCGAATCATCCTGAATACAGTCAAAAACAACAATAAATAATTTATTATTTATTAATTCAAATCAGACCGTGATATAGTGGTGCTTTATAAAATAAACTAATAATTTTTTTTAAAATATTAATAGTATATGTAGTCTTTTATATGTAAAATTAGTAAAGCTATTCATACAATTGTTATTACATCAAAATATCAATGAAAACATTTTGATAACACTAGTTTGAACCAATGATTAAGATATAAAAGGAATTGTCTTACTTTTTATTGTTGTTATATTCGAGTGAGTTTGTAACAGAATGAAACTATGTTTTTTAAACTATGTGTTACAGTGTAACTTATAGAAGATAATAGTTTTGGAAGCTTAATAACAGTTCGATTTATTTAAGAATAAAACGCGACTATTTATAGGACAAGAAATGGTTACTTTGGATTATTCCTATTTCTTGTAATACAATATAATCTAGGTAAACACTTAAGTGATGTCCTTTCATTCATCACTTGGAAATTTCAATATAAGTAAAAAGAATGAATTACGATAACGAAAGGAAAATACTATATAAACATATATGTGAGAGAGAAGGATTTATCCCATATGGTCCTATGAATAAAAGAAGGAAAATACCAGATAGACAGGCATATGCGAAGAAAAGAAAGAATAGCGAACAAATAATACATGTGTTCGCTTACACTATGCTCAGCAAGGATAATTTCCATTTTTGATCATTAGTGCCTAGTGGTAGTTCATCATAAACCAAAAATCTTCATAAAATTCTGAAGCTTATTTCTTTATTAAAATCTTACTATTACATATAATTTAAGAGTAAGTATTTATGTGAAGCTTTTATAAATACATGTACACTCGGCGGAGGAGTCACATCGATCTATTGCACATTTCGTTACCGTTTTTCTTCTTTATTGTCTCTACTGAAAGGACAGTATTGCGCTGAACGAGTTAGTTACATCTGGAGGGTGCGGGTGTCGGTGGGAATTGGCTAAATGACACCCACACCTTTACATCTTGATAGGAGCAATGTAGAAAAAAACAAATCATGTTTTCATATATATATATCATTTCAAACGATAAACAAAAATTCAGATCTAATAACGAATTTATTTTGATATGCCCAAAATAACTAATAGGAATAAACAAAACGAATTTTAAACTATCACAGGACTTGAACATTGCCTTGAAAAAAAAGTCGAGCAAATATTGATTCGGAATTTGCAAGTAAATTTTTAGGTGTATCAAATTCAATCATTCGACCATTATCCATCACAAGTACTCGATCAGAATCAACAATTGTTTGAACACGATGAGCAATTGTAATTACAGTTACATCTGAACATGTTTCACGAATTGATGTTTGAATTAAACGATCTGTTTCAACATCAATATTAGCAGTTGCTTCATCCAAACAAAGTATCTATGATAGATTTCAATATATATATATATATCAAATAATTATTTCAAATTACCTTAGCTTTACGAAGAAGTGCTCGAGCAAGACAAAAAAGCTATAAAAGAAAAATAAGAAAGTATTTCGATAATAAAATCATTTACTTGTTTTTCTCCAACAGAAAAATTTCGACCACGTTCAACAATCATTGAATCAAGACCATTTCCTATAATTTTAATTAATACAAAAAAACAAATATTTGAAATAAATTTTACCTAAATTTTCAATTAATTTTTGTAAATGACATTTTCCTAATACTAAATAAATTTCTTCATCTGTATAATGTCGATATGGATCAAGATTTTCTCGAATAGTTCCACTGAATAAAAATGGATCTTGTGGAATAATTGCTAAAGTTTGTCTAAAATAAAATATATGGATAAAATAAAAAATAAAAAACAAAGTTCTTCGTACCGAAGTGTTTGTCGTTCAAGACTTGTTATATCAATATCATCAATTAAAATTTGTCCATCACAAATATTTACTGTACGAAATAATGTTGCCAATAAACTACTTTTACCTGAACCTGTTCGTCCAACAACTCCGATTTTTTCATTTGATTTTATAGAAAATGTTATATCATTAAGTGCAAATTTTTGATCAATATTATATTTCATCATAACATGTCGATATTCAATTGTTGATCCATTTTCTTCTCTTGGTTCATTTAAAATAACATAAGGTTCTTCAATTTCTTCTTCAATTGGTAAATTATCAATATATGCAGTAACACGTTCAACGCCAACCATTTCTTTTTCTGTTTCTGTAAAACTTGTTATTAATCCATTAAGAAGACCCGTTACAGATAAAATATAAGATAAAGAAAGGCCAACTAATGCTGGATTTGCACCTTCAATTGTATAAACATGTTCAAAAACACCAATTAATGATATACCAGCAACCATAATAATACCAATAAGTTGTAATCGAAAACCAAGCCATGAACTAGCAACAAGTGATGCAAATTGTGTACGAATACTATTCGATACTAAGATGAAATTATAATCAATAAAACGTTTAGCATGACGAAATGCACGAATTGTTGATAGACCAGATATAGTTTCACCAAAATGAGCATAAACAGGTGATAAGGTTACTGATGATATACGTTTTATTTCACGTGATGTCCAACGATAATAATTCTAAAAAAATAAATGATTACAAATCTTTTCAGAAAAATTTTTTTACTTGAATAAAATAATAAAATATTGTTAATGGTATAAGAATAATTAGAAATTTAGGTAAACCATAACAAGATAATATAAGTGTACCTAATAATGAAAATATATTTGCTAAAAGTATATTGAGTATAAATGGTAATGAATCATCTACACTCCAAGTATCACTTGAAAATCGATTTAATATTCTACCACTTGGTGTTATATCAAAAAATGATATTGAACATTTTAAAATACTATTAAATAATGATTTATGTAATTTTCTTGCTCCTTCAATACCACCATAAGCAAATGTAAAAGCACGAACAAGTGTAAATAAAGAATTTGCAATAGCTAAACCAACATATATTGTAAAAAATCTTTTAAAATCATTATCATTGGTTTGTGTTGAAAAACCATATATTGGTCGAGCATCAAGAATAGTTATACTAAATAGGAAATTTAATTACATATAACAAAAATCAAATTCATCAGTAATCTTAACTATCGTTATTGTAAAATGGCATATAATTAGGGTTTACTAGCTTTTCGCCAATAAGACATTCGCTATTGGCGAAAGTGAGGGCTTTTTTTGGCGTAAGTCCAGTGGATTTTTGCCAACTATAATGATACAGGCGAATTTCCTATATGTATGTTGGCGAAAGTGCACTGGGCTTTTGCCAGTTGGCGAAAGAACAGTGGACTTTCGCCATTGACGAAAGTGCTAGTTGGCAAAAATCTTATTGACAAAAGTCGGGAATCCCATAACTAGTAGGCCTACTTATTAACGGAAGCTCTACTAAGTTTTTTTTTATAGTCAGAGGATTTTTCTAAGTATTAATGATCATCTAATCAAATAAATTAATAATTAAACTTACACATTAGCATTTAGAATTTTGAAAGATCGTTGACTAGTAATATTAGTTGTATTAGTAACAGATAATTGATGACTTGTCCAATATGATAGCCACCAATCAAATGAATTTCGAGAAGCTATTTATTAAACATATAAATCAAAATAATATATCGAATGAACCAAGATAATTGCAACATAGACTGACTTTCTCTGATTCTAATCGTATGTAGAATAATCGAAATCTTTCAAAGATTTTTCTTTTATTATAGGAATATCCCGATTTGGAAAAATAATAATATCTTGGTTTTGTTTCTAAAAAGTGCCCCGTCGAAAGTTGTATGCAAACAGTATTTACAACAAAACATCTTTCAAATATTTCTATTACGATTCTTATGGAGGATTTTATGTTGCAATTATCTTGGTTGATCTAGTATATATACATACCTTGCATTAGAAAAATTGAGAATACAATTGAAAATGAAAGACAAATACCAACAGCAATAAAATAGCGTTTCCAAATAGCAAATTTAACTGTTCCTAAATATATATTCTTTATTTTACTTTAATCGAAAATCTCTGTTTTATTTTTGTACCTGTGCATCTTTGTTCTGCTTCATTTTGTAAAGCAGTTTCTGTTTGTAGAACTTGCTCTTCAACTTCTACTGTTGATTTATGTGTTGTTGCAATACCTGGTTGTGATGATTGGTTAATTGATGATAGTAAATACTCAGTTGATGAGAGAATTTCATTTGGTTTTCCTAATTATATTTCAAATTCGATTATGAATAAAATCCAAAAATCAAATAAACCTGATCGAACTATTCGTCCATTTTCCATTAAAATAATATAATCAGCTTGTTCAATAAATTGAATTTGATGAGTACATAATATACGTGTCTTATATTTAAGAATATCACGAATACAATGAGAAAAAAGATGACGAGCAACATGAACATCAACAGCTGATAATGGATCATCTAATAAATAGATATTTTTATCCTAAAATTTCAATGAATATAATAGTATATTGATTTATAGAATTCTTTAATTACTTGATAAACAGCTCGAGCTAATGCAAGACGAGCTTTTTGACCACCTAATTTACAGAAAAAAAACAAAATTCTTCATTAAAAATATAAAACAAACTACCGGAAAGTGTAACACCATTTTCACCAATCAATGTACGATCACCGGCTGGGCCTAAATTCTAAATAAAAATTCTTATCATAACAATATAAATATTTCTTTTCAATACTTTAATATCATTTTCAAGTGCACACGCACTAATAACTCTTTTGTACCATTGTTCATTATATATTTTACCAAAAAGAATATTATCTCGAAATGACATTTGTTGAATCCATGCTTCTTGACTAGAAGAGAATTGAACAAACAAACAATGAAAGAAATAAACTGAAGTAATACTAACCTAACATAAGCAAATCCATCTTCAAGAACTCGATGAATATTAATTAAACCATTGATTTTATTCAATTCACCAAGAAAACTATTAAGTAATGTTGTTTTTCCACCTACAAGTAATTATGAAATTATTTTGAAAATAATAGAAGAATTTCAATTTTTACTTCCAACACGACCAAGAATAAGTACAAGACTACCACGTGGAATTGATAAATCAATATCTTTCAATGATATATCATCAGATTCAATATTATTCGATGATTTCCAAGAAAAATTTGCTTGTTTAAGACGAATATCGAATGTTGGATCATCTGTTGAATTGAGAAAAACAGTATCTAGAAAAAGTTTCGAATTAGATAATAGAAATAAATTTTGAAAAAATACCTAAAGATAATTGAGAACCAACCGGTATATTTTCATAATATTCACCAAGATTCGTTAATTCAATATTAATAAAACGTTGAACACGTTTTAATGAAACATATGATTCAACTAATCCATTAATAACCCATGGAAATGAATTTAATGGAGAAATCAATAAAGCAAATAAAGCTAAACTTGTAAATACCTATAATTAATTAGAAAAAACAGATATATATACAACACAGAGCTTTCGATATGTAATTAAGTATAGTTTTTTTATCAGTATTCGCGAGGATATAGTGTCCGTTGAGCGAAAACCATATCAGCGAACGGATTTTTCGGTGAAAAAAATGCGCGAAAGTCTCCTTCCCGAGCGAATATTTGCTTCTATTTGTGATCTGAAAAATTCTTTTGAAATTGTTTTTTACTCTTAAATTTTATCGTATGATAGTACTTAGAAAACTTCAGCCAATTTATTTATTTATCCTTACACTATCTGCTTTACTACATTTGACAGGCAATATACATTATCTACCAGATTTGATAAATACTCTACTAGGCTTGACAAATAGTCCATATGGTGTACCAGATTTGGCAGATGTTTTTACACTTTCTGACAGCTCTACCAGAAACCTTGACACCACAAAAAAAATCGCAGAAACGTTCCCGGAGTCTGTCTACACACAAAAGGATTATATTCAAAAATTTCGAATTTATTTTCTAAACAACAATTTAATCAAAACTGCAACAAACGGCTTTTTTAAAGAATAAGAAGCTATCTATAAAACAAATATTTCTATAATTTCAAAATCTTTATCTAACCTTAGCTGGTGTTAATTGATTTCCAAGGAATGTATATGTTGTAAATGTTAAAACTGATATAAGAACTGGTGTTGTTGCCCAAAAATAAACACAAAATGCATCTAAATATTTTCTTCCACGTAAAGCTTTTAATTCTTTTTGTCGAACATCATCCATACGATTAATAAAATAATTTTCATATGTATTCATTTTAATTGTCCGTATACCATAAAGAATTTCTGAAATAAGTTTAACACGTTCGTCTTTATATAACATCATATCTTGACTTAATATAGCAATTTTTGATGCTATTACTTTATTTATTGGTATAAGTATTATTGCAAAAGCTAGACCAGTTAAAAAAGTTAAACCAATTTGTTTATATAATAAATAAAGAACAATAATGATTTGTACTGGTAATGACCAAAATGCATGGAATGATTGAAAAAAATTCACAATACGATCAGAATCTGTTGACATAAAATTAACAATTTCACCCATATTAAATCTATTCATTTCACATGTATTTAATTCTGTAGCTTTTAAATAAATACGTGTATATAAATACATTTTACAACGAAGTCCTAAACGATTTATACGATAAGTAAATTGTGTATTGAGAAATGATGCTAATGCAACAGTTCCAATAAGAATACTTGAAAGAAAAAGTCCATAACGTAAATTACGATCTTTTTGATCAGTTGTACTTGATTCTTCCATATAAAGAATTAATTTATTAAGAAATATAGGTCCACCAAATGCTAAACAATCACCAAGAATTTTTAGAATACCAAGAAAAAAAAATGATTGACCAAAATTTGTTAAAAGTGAACGAGAAAGTTCACGATGATGTTGAATTATTGAGCCTAATGTAAATATTACAGATGGTAATGAACAAAGATCATTTAAATCATTAATTAATGAATTATAACCACGTTTCATTATTGGATTAAACCAAGAAAAAGTAAATAATTGCGTTATAGTAGCTGAATCTTCATTAATAATATCCGATGATTGTTCTGATGATAATGGAAGAAAACAACATACTGGTTGAATAATTCTTGTATCAGTTAATAAACGTTGATTTTCATCGGATGAACCAAGACCTATGATAATAATATTCAAAAAGTTTCTGGTGATGATAAACAAAAAAAATAATTTCTACTTACGATCTCTATGTACTGGTCGATAACATTTATGACGACTTATACATAAAAGACCAAGAAATATAAACGCTAAACATAATTGTCTTATACTAACATAAATACTATCAATAAATGTTAAATGTTTAATAATAATTCTATAAATATCATAATTTTGTACGAGAAAAAATATACTCATCCAAATAATATAAATCCATGGACGTTTTTTATGATAAAGATTACTGTTTAAGTTTAAATAACAAATAAATATATAAGTCAATAGAATAATACAAGTATTTATAATATCAATCCATTGAATATTTATTGTATCAAGAAAAAAATAAATGTAAAAATAATATGAAAATGTTATAAATAGAATTATAGTTGATGCCAAACGAATTAAAGCAAGTGGAAATGTCCATAGACGATATGAACATTTTGAACGTTGTCCAATATTATATGACACAAGAATAAGAGTAATTATATGAAGAAAGAATTCGAAGAGATATTTATGAAAACATAATGAGAAATCTTGATTAATCCAGATCTTTGATAGAGAATTATTATCGTTACAAATAAACGATAGAAAATCTGAGATTTTCATCTAGAAAAAATTTGCAAAAACATATCCTAGTTTTCTTTTTTTCTTTTCTTTTATATATAAATATAAAAATTTAACTAAATATCTTTGATATTTTTTGATAATTCTTTTTTTTTCTCTTTCAATTTTTTATCTTCATCAGATAAATACTGCATGAATTCTGTTAAACTTTCAAATTCAGTTCTTCCTTGTTCTTCTGTTTCTCCTTTAGATTTTTTGCTTTTTATCGATGGTAACGATGAACCAATTCGTAAACGAAATTCTTCAAATGAATTTGGTCTTCCACTAATTAACCATAAAAAACATGTAAATGAAAGAACACCAGTTACACTATATATTGATGCACGACGTAGAGCTCTCACGGCTAAACGATTTCCATCATCAAATATCTGTGTTGCATTAGCTTGTCGTGTAAGTTTAGCTGTTGTTTCACGTTTTTTTGTTCGACCAAGTGCAAAACCAAAACCACCTAATAATCCACATGCAGTTATAAAAGCAAAATATACCCCAGGCAAAAGACGATTTGATATGAAAGCATTACGAGCTTCACGAGATTTTTCTTTTTCTGTATTGATTGCATCACTAGAAATAAGATAAAAGAATGATATTATTCTTTTGTTTCTAGTTCTCAACAAACAAACAAACAAAAAGAACAAAAATTGAAAAAAAACTAATCATTTGTTTTGTCTTTGTATATAACTATTCAAAAGTAATAGAAGAATAAGTAATTGAATACTGATTGTCTGATGTATATTGTAATAACACAACAATAATTCTTTTATTTTTTACACATACACACAAAGAAGAGCGATAATAAACGAATACAACATGTAACATGAGAGAGAAGAAAGTGTTATTTGCATAGATCTCACTAAGAAATAGCTCCATGTTCAAGTAAAACTTCCTGACCATCATTTGTAACATGTGCTACAGCATCTGGATCATCAGCCAATTTAATTAAATCAACTATTTCGCCTTTTTCATAAGGAATTTCTAAGAAACTATCACTTTTTTTTAATGATGGTGATCGAATTGCTAATGGTTCTTTATCCAGAGAATTTATTGATGTAACTGTTGATGGTAATTCGTCAATATCGGGTGTTGATGGTTGTTGTAATGGATTATTAGAAAGATCAGTTACAGGAGTATTTAAGATAACTGCTGATGGATCAGCATCAATTGAAAAACGTTTAGCTATTCGATGTGATGGATGATGACGATCGAAACTTGATTGAGTTGAAAGAATTTTTGTTAATCTTTTTGTTGCTGTTTCATTTATTGTAGGGAGTATTGTCGAAGAAGATATTGATGAATTACAAATATCATTTGTATCGTTAGTTGATTTATCTTCTGGAAAAATTAATTTTGGTGTTATTGAAGTTGCCATCTAAATAATTTGTCTACAAGAAATGAAGAAGGGAATATTTGCCAAAATGAAAATAATTCTGTTTGATTGTTCCATTTGATTCAATTTTGTTTTTTCTTTCTTTTTTTTTATCGAGGAAAAGAAATTATATAGAATATCTCCTCACTTATTTCTATGGTATCTATAAGTGTAAAATAGTCATCTCGTTGAAAGTATATGGGATGTTATAGCATACTTATGGCATGATTCTACTTATTCTAATGTCTATTTTTGGTACAAATATTCAGTGAATAAGAAAAAAGGAAAATAGTCATCGTTAGAAGAAGAAGAACAGCAAACGACAACATTACGATTCTGTTTAACTAGTGTGCGTGCATGCACGAGTCAAATAAAATGTATAGAAGAAAGATAGAAGAGTGGTAGATGTTGATGACGACAATATCAGAGAGAGAGAGAGAGAGAGAGTGCGAAAAGAAGAAGAAAGAAGAAAGAACGTGTAATGTAAGAGAAAATAATACAATAATGATAATAAGAACATATATTCGTAGAACTATCAACAAGAATTATAGTTCTTCTTTTATTTCTTTATCATAATAAAAACATCATTTTAGCAAAAGAAAAGATCTACATCGATGATCTTTTATAATAAAAGAAAAAAACAACAACGAAATAATATTTGTCAAGTCTCTTAATCATTAAAGTTTAATAAGAAAAAAATGAAACGGATGAAATCATCAACTTGTAGAACATTAAAAGATACTGTTTTGCTTTATTCTTATCAGATAATAATAATAATAATAATAATAATAACAGAATAATCTAAGTCGAAAGAAAAACAATCGTTGACAAGAACAAGAAGAAGAGAAAAAAACCTGTAAATAATTTTTTTTATCTTACAAACATCAACACACTTTAGAGAATCATCGTATATGATATAAAAATAAAAGAAGCTATAAAATATATTAACTGGAAAGAAATATTTATTATCAAAAAAGCAAAATCTTTTCTTAGTTTATAAAAATTCGGAAAATATTCTCTTACCTGTTCATTGAATTTGTTATAAATTCCACGAGAATGTAATTAATCAAAATAGTAATTAGAAGTTTTGTATTATAACGAAAATCTCCGCTCTGAAATAAAAGTAAATTTCTTTTCGTTACAGATGATTCATCTTTATACAGGATTGGCTATTGGAAGAAACCATTTGAGGTAATAAATAGTATGGAACGATCGATGACAGAGGCTCTACACAACAACCAAACGAATGTTATAGAAAAATGGCGATCTACACAGAGAATTGATTAAACTATTTTTTTTAAAAAAAAGACGATGGCTCGTGTTTCGTCTTATCGTGTTGGATGTACACAAAAATGTCTTCAAGCTCAAAATGATGCACTTAATTCAACATTTTTTATTCTAAGACAAACAGGTCCAACAGCTTTTGTTATTAAAGGAAATGATGAACGAATATTTAAAGTATTTATTAATACTTGAAATATTTCAATTGTAGTAAATTCTTTATTTAGGTATTTCTCGGTGATCAACATCAATGTACATGTTTTGCATTCCAACGTGATCGAGAATTATGCAAACATATTTGTTGGCTTCTTTTAAAACGATTCCGTATACCAAGAACAAATCCAAGTAAATATTTATATTAAAAAAAGAAGAAAAATTAGTATATATATATATATATTGATGTTTAGTACTATGGCAGCGAGGTCTTGTCGAACGGGAAATAAATGAGCTTCTTCGTGGATTAACATCAGATGATGATGAAAGATATAAATTAAATCATAATTATAGAGTAAGAAAAAAAAAGGATTTTGATAATTATAATTTTTTCTGAAGGATAATTTGATTGAGGATGAGTAAGCGTATACAAAAGAACGAAAGAAAGACTGATTATTTTATGGATTATGATCTACATCGATAAAAAATTCGATAAGCTGTTTAATGAAATAAAAGCATTCTATAATATTGTTATAGAACACAGTAAATCAACATGAGTGTCTTGCAAGTTAGGTCTAGAAATTGTTCTATGGATCATTGGATAACAAATAGGAAACATGATGTTAATTGGAAATCGAAGTAGTTCTAACTTAAGTGAATTAGACATTTTCAATAGTTCACTATAATGTTTAATTTTTCTCTCAGTCAATTTACGTTTGAGTATAATTTCTTGTCAGATTTATTTTCGATAATAATAAAATATATTTTTTCTATTCCAGCATGACATTGGAATTGATGTTAATAATATAGTTGAACAACGTCCAATTAGTGAAAATGATGTATGTCCAATATGTCAAGATAAATTTCTAATTAAAAAATTGCCTGTTACTTATTGTCGGTTAGTTAGGAATTTTAAATTTATTTATATATGTTGTATTTTTGGTTCTCTAGACATGGTTGTGGTAATAATGTTCATATTAAATGTATGAAAATTTGGCTTGATCATCAAGTATCAACTGGTGAAAAAAAAATAAAATGTCCATTATGTCGTGAAATATTTGGTACCCCCGAACAGCTCAAAGAAGAATTTCGGTAGCAAAAAAAGAAAGAAAGAATTTTCTATTTTATTCAATTTTTTTATTTAGAACAAATGATGATGAACAAACCGAAAAATTTTCCATACATTTAGGTTATTCATGTCATCGTTGTCGATCATGTCCAATAAGAGGCAAATGCTATAAATGTACAACATGTCAAGATTATTTTCTTTGTCAAACATGTTTTAATTTAAATATACACAATGAACATAGTTTTGATTATCGAGAAGTAAAATACAAAAACAACCAAACTAAACTATTCAAACAATTGTTTTTTTCATCTTTAGAAATCCTATCAACGTTGGAAAATAGCAATACGTGAACATTTAACAGCATTACCAAATGCAATTCATCAAATGATTGTAAATAGAGAATTAAATGAAAATGATTATGAAATTTTACATCAACTTGAAACGTAATTTATAAAATAAATTTTTTTTGGTATTCATATAATCTTATTTTTAAAGTGCTCAGAATACAACAATACAAGGTATACCAGAAAATATTGTTAAATTAATGCCAACTGAACTTGTACATGAACATAGTCGTTTATTAGAACATGGTGAACAATGTCGTATATGTTTAAGATCTTATCAAATAGGTGATCGTCTTCGACGTTTACCATGTCGTCATAAATTTCATATTGATTGTATTGGTAATAATAATAGAATATACTTTTTATACTGTGAAAAAAGAAACATATTGTTCTTTTTAGATGGATGGCTTTTACATAGTCATCCAACATGTCCTGTTGATGGTGAAATTGTATGGAGTGCAGAAGTAAATAATGAACAAAAAGAAATCAAACGGTATAGTTATATATATATTGTTTAAATATAATAGTTATTTTTTAATTTAGTCCGTCGACAAGTATTTTTCGAAATAGAACAAAAAATGTTCGTCCATCGACTAGTTCATCTTTACTTTCTGCTGATATGGGATTAACAATAAGTCCATATAGAATAAGATCAAGATTTAATACGGATCTTAATCAACGTTTTCGACATCTTCATATGCGTGCACCACTTCGTTCATTAATAACATCGATGCCTATAGAAAATTCTGTGCCATTAGAAATTAATACTCGACGTTTACGAAATAAATCAAAAATAAATAATGTTGAACAACAATCATTATTAATATCCACTACTTCAATAGCAAATAATATTAACAGAAGAAATAATGAACTTAGGGATAATTGGGCGGTATCATCAAATGGTTTTAATTATTCAATTGCTCAACGTAGATATTCAAATTCAAAATAATTTATTTTTCTATTCTTGATAAGCTTATTTTTTTATTCAGATAAACTTTCTGTATTTTTTTAAATTTATAAATCGATCATTTCTCAAATTGATTTACAACAATAAATATAAATAATTTGCTCCACAAATCGAATATTTGTCTTCTAAACAACATTTTTAACCACTTGACACGATTTACATTTATTTGTTTCAGTAATCAGAAATGCAATTATTTATTCTGTCAATAAAAAAGCTGTTAGTGCAATCCCTCGGGGGATTAAAAGATAAAATACAACGTAACTGTTATTTCCATCTTCAACTAGATAGTTTAATTGTATCACTATGAAACGATTTTCACCTCATCCTATGGAATAAACTCATCTGATTAGCATTTTAATAGTTGTTACGAAATTCAAGAGAAAGATCGTTTAATGCAAAGTAAATTACTAACATATCTATCTTAAACAGTATGAATTCAATGGTTATGTCTGTAAGGGGTAGTGGGTGCAAATCTCTACTCCTATACATAATACTTTTGTTCATAATTAACCATATGCGACTTATGTCATAAAAAGATATGTTTATATATTGCATTCATATTGATTAACCCTCATATCACCAGCTGGGGTCCGGGTGGACCCCAGAACACTTGAATTTTATTCAGGTCTTATGCAGTCGTGGGTTCATTCTCGTGCTCCTAGATATGCATCGACGAATGTCAGTTTGACTTATTGATGACATCAGCGTCTTCGATTTGTACATCGGCGATACAATAAAATAGATCGCGATATCCATGAACGTGTTTTTATCGCTTGAATTCGGTCTTTGATGGACTTGTTGATCTTTATAAAATATTTTAGAAGGTTTTGTGTCAAATCATGAACATTTGAAAGTGAATGGAATTTGGTTTTTGTATTATATTATCACAATATCGCGGAATGTTTTATGTCATCCTAATTTCATATTTTTGTGGAGATAAGAAAAAAAAGAATAAAGATCATGAGAAAACGATACAAGAAAATATTTTTTTTAATTTTACCTGCAGCGATGTTTTGTACATAATTCTCCGCTTTTCTCTACAACTTGGTAGGAATTTTGCTCTATCTTTAACTCAAAATTGTGCTGGGGTCCTCATGGACCTCAATCAAGAAAAACGATAGTGTTGTATAAGTGGTGATATGAGGGTTAATGATGAAATTTAGTTTTAAATTCACCCACAAATTAAAGATTATTGTTTATTCTAGAAATATCCGATAAATAACAGAAAAAAAACAAACAAACATGCAAACATTAATATTATAGTTCATCTTTACTCATTGGTGTATTCTCTTCGGTTTGTTTTTGATTTGCAATAACATCCACACTAAGTAATTTTGCTGCTGCTACACGATTAGTTTCACGATGAATTGTTGTATTTTCTGTATCAGATATATAATTTGGTTCACCAAAGTAATGTGTAGGTGTTAAAATAGATGGATGAAATGCATATGCTTTAAGTTTTCGATTAACAAAATGACTTTTCCAATTTTCATTTGGATGATGATCATACATGATTGGTAAATATTCATCAACAGGTAAAATTTTTTGTAATGGTTTTTCATCAATAAGCATACGTGCACCACGTAGTGAAAGTGCATAACCAACTGTCCAATGTGAATAGGATGGTTCAATAAGAAATGTTTCAATTGTATTTTCATAATTTTCTTCATCTGGTCTCATTATTTTTCTTCCAAGAAATATTAAATCCCAATCTAACGAACGATTTGATAGAATTTTTTCTAATTTATATTTAAAATATGGATCAAAACGAACATCATCTTCAAGTATTAAAACACCATTGGAATATTCATTCTTAACTATATCTTCCCAAATAAAATAATGTGAAAAAAAACAACCTAATTCACCATAATTCATTGGACGTAAATTATATGGATCTTCATATTCTGGTAATAGACGAACATTAAGACGTTCTAAATATGCTTGATCAATTGTATGTTTTCCATCGATTGCATCAAAAAATCGTGCAGATATATTAAGTATATCAAATGTTGCTTGTAAACGTTCACGACGATCAGTACGACGTACTAGATTGATAACATAAATTTCATCTAAACCAAATTTTGTTTTTTCTTTCGATGATGATGGAATTGATATTAATGATGTACGTGTAATTGGTGGTAAATAAGTTTGTGATGGACCATTCAATTGATGTTCAGTTAACATATGCATATAAAGATCATGTATAACTGATTCATCATAGAGTGCTTCGAGAAATTGTGCAGGTATATAACCAAATATTTCACGATTACATACATATGTAGGAATGAAATTTTGTCTTGCAACCACATCAATTGCTGAAAAATAAAATAAATGAAATTATGAGAAAAATAAATAAATAAATCATAAGTACCGTATTGTTGTTGTGTATCTTCAAAGATTTTATCATGTAGAAAAATAAGACGTACTTGTGGATATTTAAAATTAAAAAAATAAAAATCTTTAATTCCACCATCAATAAGAAAACAACCAAGTTTTTTTCTATCATAAATTTGTTTATAATAATCAAAACCTGTCATTTGTTGATCATTTAAATAAAATGTTGATGTATACATATCTTTTGTTGCACGTAATAATGGTGTCATTAATGGTTTATCTTTTGAAATTAATGTTGATAAAAGTTTTTCAGGTTCTAATAAAATAATCATTGAATCAAACATAGCAAGATATGTTATATCAAGTTCGGATATACGTTTCATAACATCACGTAGACGATTTGTTTGATCAGTAGTTGATTTAGCTGTCCATTCATGTATTGTAATTGTTGTAAATGCAGATTGTTCAGATTTTTTCATTGCGGATACCCATTCAGTTAATAATTGAGTAGTTTCATTTTCAGTTGTGGTATGAAATACATGATAAATATGAAAATCTAAATAACATTGATTACATGGACAAGTTAATCGTTCGAGTTGATGAAGAAAATACGGTAAAACATAAGGACGATTATAAATATCAATATCAACTAATAAACGTTCATTTTTAATAGAAGACGATGAATCATTTTCTCCAAATATATGATATCTTTTTCCATGAATTGATGTAATTAAAAGTAAAAATATCAGTTGAGTTATCATTTTGAGAAAATCTATAGAAAAAAAACAAACAAACAAGAAGAATAGTTTTTTGTTTCTTATAGAGGCATATATACCATCTATTTTGCTATGTCTGTAAAATGTTCTTTGACCTATGTACTATATATTGGTAGAATAAACAGAAAGAAAAGTACAATTCAGACGAAGAGACATGCATAACCGGTACACTCGGTCGTACAGAAATTATCATATTTTCTTTTTTTCTCGTTATCATAAACGTACAGAAAAGAAAGAAATGTAGACGAATGAGCGAGAATATATATATATATCCGTTCATTATGTTGCTTTATCATATCTTTAGACAAGAGAAGGAAAAAATCGCTAAGAATATTAATTTTAAGGTCGATATGATCAAACGAAGAAAAACTATATTATTAACATGTGTTCATTCTTTTTCAAATTAGCATATGTAAAATATGAGTACTTAAGATTTCCTAAATGATATAGATGTTATCTAGCGATAGATTTTCAATTATTGAATAACTTGTGATGATACGTTAGCAGATTCAATTTCAAATAAGAGTTCTTGTATTGAATGTGACAAGAATTGTCTAAATTATTGTTTTTTTTTAATGAAATGTTATGATCTTTTACAAAAATAATTATAATATTATGAAGTATGGACTTCGACTTAGTGCAATATTTCGCACTTAAATTATATTTTGTTTGTCGTTTTTAAATTACATATTTTGATAAGATGGATAGTATGAAGTAATATATTTAAAGATGAGAGTAAATGCATCTGTTCTCAAATTATCCAAGATAAAAGTTTATTGCATTAGAAATATTTTTCTTACATTATACGAAATAATGTTGTCCTCAATTGTTCTCATTTTCATATTACCATTAGCTAGTCAAGCAATTAGCAATATTCGACAAGGTATGTAATTGAGAGATATGCAAAAAAGTCAATTCATAGTTGTTTCTTTTGTCGATAGTATCTGATATCCCTATACAATGGACGAATTGCAGTACATGGACTGATCAATTATCGATTGAGAAAGTCGAAGCAAATATGTGGCCACCTAAACGAAATCAACTATTAACAGTATCTGTTTCTGGAGCAGCAAAAGAAGAGTTTGTTTATGGTAATTATATCAAAACAATTGTTTATCGAGGATACTCATTACCACCAATTAATGGTCCATTAAATGATTTTGGAGTTGAAGTACCTGTTCATCGTGGTCCAGTAAAAATGATTATCTTTAATAGTACCATTCCTGAGGTAGCACCAGCTGGACAATATGATGTTTTTGTAAAAGCATATGAGCAAGATCACTTCGAGGTGATGTGCGTCAAATTTAGTTGGGAATTCTCAAATAACTAAAATTAAAGTCTACATCTTAAGCATTAGTTATTTTTCGAGATTATTATTCTAAATAATTCTCTAATAAAATCAGTTTTCTATTATCATGTGATCTAAAATAAAGGTTCGTTAAATTAACAATATTTTATAACATAAATTTATTTGTTAAAACAATAAGGGGTGTGGATGTGAGTGTAGATATTCAGTATTAGACTCTAGATGAAACATGATAATTATATATTAAGATTAGAATTCAAAAAGAATATGAGCTATTAAATTAGATCAGAAAATTATGTTTATCGTTAACTTGTTTTCATAGATAAGAATGGGAAAGTGTTCAATATTACGTAGTCAGTTCATCAAAAACGAAATGTTTAATAATTAGCAAGCAAGATCTTCGTGTAAAGATCAAAATTTAATAATTCTTATATATGAAAGCCAATAAGCCTCTATAGCTCAGTGGTAGAGCGCCAGTCTTGTAAACTGGAGGTCCGTAGTTCGATCCTGCGTGGAGGCATCTTTTTTTTTCATTCTTTTCTTCTCCCCTAACCTCAAGAATTTACATTCATCGTATAAAAACAAGGTCTAAAACAACCGCAGTAGTGGCAAAACAAGCTAAAAGTTTACTTTTGATATAAATACTGATAAAATCATTCGAACGATATTCTAACTTGTCTGTTGATATGCGCAGTTAGAAATAAATGAAAATATTACATATAATTCTATTGGTAGATCATTTCACTTGTTTTTATTTAAGGTATCCATAGATCAAGATAGACAAAACAACAAATCTGTACAGAACATGTAGAAAAAAAAACAGAAATAACTGAATGATAAACACCGGATAAAGTTAAATAGATTTAGTCCCATAATTTAACAACATTATCCCATCCAGCTGTAAGAACTCTTGATTTCTCATGCCAATGCCATTTAGCATCAATACATACATTATCATGTGCTTTAATTTTTTCAAAGACACGTGTCGTTTTCCAATCCCAAATAACTAAGTGACCATCTGCATCACCACTAATTACATAAGACATATCAGGTGAAAAATCAAGACCACATGCATAACCAGATACCTATGAATAAAATAAATAGAAATTTATTGAAATTAAAAATCAAAAAAAATAACATACCATATGGCCTTTGAATACTTTTTTACTTTTCCATCGAAAGTTAGCCATAGGTTCCATAATTCTAATTTGATTATCCATCGATTGAAATGCTAAATATCTACCTAAATACACCAAAAAATAAATTTTAATTATAAAATAAATATATTCATTTCAACAAACCATTTTTTGATTGAGCTACAGCAGGCATTGAATGCATCGTTGGTTCAGCAATATATTTAAAATCAACAGGAATGTTCCTTTGAAAGAAAAATTTGTATTTCTAATAAAATTATTATTTTCTTTTTCTTACCATTCCCATACACGAATACTTTTATCATCGGATGTTGATACAATACGACGATTTCGATCAACAAATGTAACAGTATTGATAGCACCTAAATGTCGATCATATTCTTGCACAACATGACCACTTCGAATATCAAACTAAAATAAGAATTTGTAAATTACTTCTATGCTCTCTGATATTTGGTTTAGTTTTTATAAAAACTTACACAAAGAATTTTCTTGTCAGACATGCCACATATAAATAAATGTTGTTTACTCTCACTTGGATTAAACGAGACACAATACGGTATTTTTCGTACTGAAAATTTACTTTTCACTTGACCTAAGAATAAAATTACAAATATTCATTAGAAAGTAAATAATTATGATTTCATACCAGTTTCTGTGTCCCATAATTTAACACTTTTATCATACGAAGCTGAAAGAAATTCTGTGCCTCCAAAATTAAAACTAACATCACGTACAGCTTGACTATGTCCAGCGTATGTTCGAACACATCGACGTTCATTATAAAATTCCCATAACTAAAATAAAATATTAAATAAATAGATTTCTTTTTTCTTCTATTCATTATATTTACTTTGACTTTACAATCCATTGAACAAGTAAGAAACAGATGAGCAGAAACAGGAAAGTAATGAATTTTTTGTATAGCTTTTGTATGTCCTTTATATGTATGTATACATTGTTTAGGAATAAAGCATCGTTGTGGTGGATCTTCCGAACGTAAATTAACACCAACATCTTGTGGAATATGAAGAAATGATCGACCTTGATAATCATATGGATCTTTAATATGTAATGTTGTTGATGATGGATCTTCTGCTTCTTTATCTAATGTTGTTGATTCAGGATCACGAGCACGTATTGCATTTTGTTCATCACGTGTTGGTCGTTTAGCTTTTCGTCGTTTAGATAAATATTCATCGATTTCTTTTTGTTCTTCCTGAAATTACAAAAATATGAATTAAACTTGTAATAAATAATTAAAATATATACTTCAGATGGACGTGATGTAGTTATTTCATCGGCATATGCAGCCCATGGACCTTGAAAACCTTCAACATCACCTGAATCATAATTTTTATCTTTTTTTCGTTTTTCTCCAGCAGGCTTTTTAGCTGTTTCAAAAATAGTCATGCCTTCATTAATTTCAGCTCTAATTTGATCACCAACTAATTGTGGAGTTGCATGTTCTCCAACAGTTGGATCAACTGCATAACCAAAACTATCAAATGTTCGTCGTTGATTTTCAAATTGAAAATCACTTAATGTTGTCGATTCTGCATAACCATTTAATACATTTTTAAATGTACGTTGTTGTTGTGTTAAATTTGGATTTGTTGGACCATACTATAAAGTATAAACAAAAAAATTATCTTATTAATTTTACTTTTTTACTTACAATTGGTGCATACATGTCTTCATATTTTGGATTGTATAAAACTTCTCTAGTTTTAATATCGAGAAAACTACTTGTATCAATTGGCTAGAAAAGATATATTATAAAGTAATGAAAAAAAGAGTCAACTGTTTTATTCTCTATATACCTGAATTGCAATAGCTGGTGTTAAATTGAGTTTAATCTTTGACATAACCGAAAAAGCAGGATCATTAAGAACAGCCATACGATCTTCTGTGTCTTCTTCATGTCTGGTTACACGTATTTCATCAGTCTTGTCATCATCATCATCATATAATGCTTGTATAGCTGCAAGTGCCATCTAAAAAAAATAAATTATATGTTGAATAGGCTATATGTTAAAAGAAAACAACAAAAACTTTATTTATCTGATCTTACTAAACTAAAGAAAAGAGAATAATATGTATATATGTATATATAAGATATAACAAAAAAAACGTAAATTATTAACAATAACAAAAATTCGAATATGATAGATCTTGATCAATATTTAAGTCAGTATACAATATGGTTTAAGTGTGGTTGTACTAATATTTTCTCGACATAATGGACATTGAGATGAGTTTGCTAATATTTGACGACTGCATAATATACACATGACATGATGACATTGAGTAATTAATAAATAAATTCCTGTATATTGTAAATCAGAAAATGTTTCTAAACATACAGGACATAATTCATCATCATCAAAAGAAGATATATGTTCACATTGATCTGATAAACAATCCGAAGAGTTTGGTTCATCTTCTGTTAAATCAATAATTTCTTCTTCTTCTTCTTCTTCATCATCATCAATAATTTCAATATAAGTACTACTAAGAGGTGTGGATGGAGGGCTATTGATCATAATATCAATACTTTGTTCATCATCTAAATCTATAATCGTTGTATTATCAATTTGTTGACATGGACTGTTCGTAATTTCAATAATATCACCATTATTATCATGTTCATTTTGACTAGAAGATCAAAAAAAAATAAATAAATAAAACAAAGAAAAACAATCTTCAACCTGTTTGTTGAAATAAAAGATACATTAGGAATTCTTTCTTCATCATATGTTAATGGTAATGAAGAAGTACTAAGGTAACGAGCACGCTTAGTAATTCGTTCAGGTTCATCTGATAATGTTCTTGATACTCGTTTTGTCATCGTTCGAAGTTATTGCAATCGAATAAAAACTATATATATACTTCTATTTTTTTCCATTGAATGAGTCATATATGTTTATTGCATTAGATAGATGGCGCTACTATGAATATTTTCTCAACAGAAAATAAAAATCTTTTAAATAAAACTATATTTCTTATTTGAATTTTTTGAAAATTAATTTTTGGAATTAATTTTTAAACATGATTTATATGATTGGTTATCTATCATAAATGGAAAAAAACAAGCCAACATTAGAGCAATTATTAAAATGCTTTATTTTTCTCATATAATGTTGTTTTGACAAAGTAAAAATGACACACAGTTATTGTTTTTTATGACATGAAGTACCTCTATCATGATGTGTTACGATTTTTCCTTTCTTTTTCTAGATATGCACATCAGATGTTGTTATTTTGCGTCGTTATAATGACGTAAATGAACAATTTATTGCAAAAAAACAATAAAAATATTAATAGAGAATTTAGAATCTTAGAAAAAAATCATTGTGAAGTAGAATCAATGGGCTTTTTTTTGAGGAATTCGAAAAATGATAGCTATTTTTATATTGAATGTTTTGAAATATTTGAAATACAATAAATAAAAGAAAGGAGAGTAAACATCATGTAATAACTACAGTGGTGGGAATAATCTTTTTTTTTTCAAGATTACATTAAGAAAATGTCATATCGAAATGAAATGTCTCGTGAAGGTGGGAGACATCATACTGATCCCACATCATCTCGATTTAATGTTAGATCAAGATATCATCAACGTGGTCGATTAAATAATCGTCCAGTACCAAATCGTCGTCCAACTGCTGGTGATGATCTTGAAACAATCACTGTATCAATTGGTCGTGATTTAACAACTGATAGAACTTATTCTCATAATCCATCAACACGTGGCGGACGTGTTGTTCGTCCAGGTGTTCGTCCTCGTGAAATTCATCCATCCGGTGGTAGTGGTCGATCGATGGATCGTGATAATAATCAAGTTAAATGGTGGAGAGTATCAATTCCACAAGCTGGTGCTATTGGAAAAGATCTTGTTATGTCAACACTTAAAGCACATTTTACTCGACAATTACTACCTTATCATGTAAATTAAATTATACAAAAAAATAATAATATAATATTATATTATATATTTATTTAGTATTTTATTGATCGTGAGACTAATATGGGAGTTTTCTTTGTCAATAGTCAACAAGATGCTGACATGTTAAAACGAGCTAATAGAAAAATTGATATACAAAATTCAGGCACAGTATGTTAAAATATTACAATCGATTTAGTATTTCATATTTTCTTGTTTGTCTTTTAGCTTAGCATTATGGTTAGTCAAGCGTCCTGTCCAGCACCATTATTAGATGCAGATTTACGGCGACATTTCAAAGTAACTATTTTAAATTCAACGTGGTTTTTTTGTTCTATTAAATATTTAGGATTATATAGTTAATCGTCGTTTTGATCCACAAACATTTCAATTACAATTATCGAATCTATCAGATGATGAAGGTTAATATTAAATTTCTAGTATAAACGAATGACTATTTCTTTAAAAATATTATAGAACTTAGTGCTCTTGGTATATATCCTCAACTTAATAAACAAGCATTTGTACGTGATATTATCGACATAATCAATCAAAATCTTCACATGGTAAATATTTTTAAATAGCAGTACACTAGGGTGTGGGTCTATAAGGACGTATTAAACTTTTCTATATTGAAACATATACGAAGAATACTAAACTCAAATGGTTTTGAATGTGGTATGTCTGGTTCTGCAAATAATATGACACAGATTTTAATCTTCATGATATTTTTTTTATCTGATAATAAATCGTATAATATTCTCTTTTTCTTTAGACTCGTCAGCTGGATTTAGGCTCGAATAATATTTCAAATTTATATGAATTTCGTAATTTAAATTTAAATAATCTTGAACAACTTAGTCTTGCTTCAAATCAAGTAAAATCTTATTTAAATAAATTCAACTATTTTAATTCTCTCATATTTAGTTAAAAAGTGTTGAAGAACTTGCTCATCTGAAACAATTAAATCATCTTAGTCATTTATTTCTTAAAGATAATCCAATAATATCATTAAACAATAGACGAAATGGCTCTCAAAATGATCTCATCAGGTCAGATCTAAGAAAATTTTTTCTTTTTGTTTCCTAGAAATAGATAGTAACAAATATATTTTTAAATCGAATGTTTTGTTAATATGAGAAATTCTTGTTTTTAATTTTCTTTCTGTCTCGTGATCATTCGAAACTAATTGAGTTTAAACAAAAAAAAATACGTGTAATCGTAATCGTACCTATCACAAAGTGTGAGTGTATTGTACGTCGAAAAACTTCTACAAGAGAGAGTGTGAAAAATAATTATTGTAATATAATAAATTATAAAAATAAAGTTTTTTGTACGTCGAGAAAAAAAACCCAATGGCATCTTGTCCGATAAATCAACACGAATAAATACAAAAACAAATTTTCTTCATTCGTTTTTAAAATGGATGTTAATATATTAATTCAATCATACAAAATACATATATTGTCTTTCTTATGCAATATTTTATAATGATTTGACAAACTACATCATACATATTCAACATCCTAATAAAACATAATATGAATATTATTATTCATTAAACTAATACAATTATCTTACAATAACAAATTCAAAAAAATATACTGGCTAGTTTTTTGTAAAATGTGATGAGAGATTTTTTGATTGTCAAAATGTGATAAACGATTTCGATGCATAAGACTACACCGATGATTTATGAATGAATGATCGATCTAAGAAATGAAAATATACTAACAAAGAAATATCTATGACTATAAACATTCGATTTAATTTTATGTTGTTGTTGTTATTCGCAGTTGCATTATGCAACAATTATCTATTATTGAATTATATAATACCATTCTAGTGCTATACGACTAAAACTACCACAACTCAAACGAATCGTAAGTTATTTTATCGGAAAAGTAAGATTCTTATTTGTTTTATTATTATTCAGGATGATGCCGAACTTCCAGCTCAAATTGGTTTTGCAATTGATATTGAATCAGTAAATTTACCAAAATCAGTTGCACATTGTGTTCCACAAGATATGCAATCATTTCTTGCGAAATTTATTGATGAATATTATCGTTTATTTGATACACGTGGTCGAGGAGAATTATATGCGTGTTATCATGAATCATGTATGTTTTCATTATGTATTGCACCAACAGAAGGTTCAATTGTTCCAACCAAATCATATCGATATGGTCCATTAATATATTATTCAAGAAATTTAAAGAAAATTTTTGATGATAATAAACGTGTAACTTTATTACGACATGGTAAAACAAATGTATTAGATTTTCTAAGAATTAATTTTCCATTAACAAAACACGATGGAAAATCATTTCATGTTGATGTTTTATCAACAGCTGTAAGTTGAATTTTTTTAATCTATTCATTTGTTATTTTGTGTGTATAGAATAATCGTGCTATTTTTACTGTTAATGGTCTTTATCGAGAACGTAAGTTTCAATAGAATGAATAGATTAATTCTATTTATCATTTAATTGTAGTTGATCAAGGACCTAGTGAACCAATACGTAGTTTTCAACGTACATTTACTTGTTTACAAACTCCTTCTGGGTAAAATTACAAATTTTTATAACAAAACAAACCTTTTATTTTTCAATAATCTAGTGTGTTAATTATTGCTGATCATATCATGATTATAAATGCAACTGATGCACAAGTTTCGAACATGGCACGTGCTCCACCACCACCGTCAATTTCAACAACACAAACTATGGAAAGTCAAAGTAATTCAATACCAAGCGTTGTTGATCCACAAATTCAATTGGTACAAAAATTTTCTCAACAATCTGGGATGAATATTGAATTTTCTAAAATGTTCGTTTGTTTATTTTTTCAATATCTATTCTATATAATGTATTATTTATAGTTGCTTAGCTGAAAATGAATGGAATTATGATAAAGCTGCACAAAAATTCCAAGAATGCCAAAGAATGGTTTGTTTGTTTTTCTTTGATAGAATTAATATCTTTATTTTTATTTTGTTTATTTTTTAGAATTTAATTCCACCTGATGCTTTCAAAAAACCATAATTGAATTCTTAGACACACATTAAAGACATATATTTTTTGTATTTATTAGTGTATTCCTTCTTATTTGTTGTTGTTCTTGTCGTTTAATACGTTAAACAACGTTGTTCGTGTATTTTGTTTTCTTTTTCTCTATTGTAATGAGATTTAAATATCATGCATCCTTCTTTCTTTCTTTTGTTCTTTGAATTATTTGTTTCATCAATGGATATATCACTATCTTAATATCTGTTATTTTCAATTCGATGATAAAACGATAGTGTAAATGAAAAACAACAAATTGATTCAATCAGATTTTGATATTTTGTAATAAAGAATATGAAACATGAAGTATTAAAGCACTAAATAGAACAGATCATATATGGGCCAGAAAATTCGCTCTTTTGTTGGAAGATAGACTTCTGCCTTCGCAACAATCTCTGAAAATATGGATTGTAAGAATATTAGATCAAAACGCAATGACGAAAAAGGACGAAAAAATTGAGAGTGAGATGATTATTCTTCTCCATTCCTCTAATTTGTTTACTATAAATAAAACTGAGGAAAAACGAGATTTCATTTTAATACTTTGCCTCATATAGTAAGGTATTTACTAGCATGTTCTCTGTCAGTCGAAGCTGGTTTGAATTTATTTTGTATTGATCCGACCTGTGATTGACAGATATGATTAATCATATGTGCTAACGAAAATCAAAAAGGTTTCGATATCTCACATTTGATGTCACACGTTACCCTCACCCACACTAGATTTGAATTGATCTAACAAAAATTTCATTTATTAATATATCAAGTAGAAAATTATAAGAAAATGTTTATTTTTTTTGTTTTTTTCTTGATTGATTTGATTGTTCATTATTAATAGAAATTTGTTTACTTATAATTGCTAATTTTTTATTTTCATCTTGAATAAGTAATTGTGCGATTTCGATTTTTTGAAAATCTTTTAATAATATTGCTTTTTTTAAACGTTCTGTACCTTCATCAATCATTTTTTGTATATGAATTAAATTTTTATATAAATCATTTGTTAGTTGTTGTTCTGTAAATGTTCTTTTTTTAGTTAATAATTTTTCTTGTTGTTTTTCTAAATCCATACAATAACGTGAATGAGCATTACGAACATAATCAAGAAGATTTTTTGTAATAGATACTTCATGTGGTTTTCCATTACCAAAAAATTTCACTCCATCTCTTGTTGCACGTAAACCATTGATTGATGCATGACTAAGAAGTGAACGTTCGTTTGTTAAAAGAAAAGCATTTTCACTAAATCCTCTTTCAATATCAGCATTACCATGTGATAATGCAAGTACACATTTTATTAATTTAGGTAAAGCAAGAAATTTATCTATACCAGTATTTGTCTTCAATGTAAAAATATGTTTCCAATAATAATCAATTGATTGATATTCATGACTTTTTCCAAACCATTCATTTGGAATATTTTCATTTTGATATATGTACCATTCAGCACCTATACGATCGATATCATTCGATTGAATTAATTGAGGAAAACTTCGAGCAATATTCATAATACTTTTATGAGATGTTGTAGAATGACGCATTGTTGGATGTAGACATTGTAAATGTCGAAGTAAATTATTTTTTAATGGTAATGTTCGTAGAAGTTCATGAGCAATTGATGTATAAAGATTACGAATATCATTGAAAAATATTTTATTTTCCTCTTCGGATAAATTATATAAACAACGACGAGTTGCTTCACCTAAATCTATATCTAAATAAACGAACAAAGTCATATTATGCATAAATAAAATCATATTACTTGAATCAGATTTTTGATTTTTTTGATTATGATATGAAATATGAATTAATTCATCTAATGTTTTATTTTTAATTAAATCTTCCTTGATAAAACATGTAAATAATCGTCGAATTAATTGTTCGCATTCATTATGTAATAAATGTATTAATGGTTGAGTTTGTTGAAACCATGTTAAAATATGTTTATATATATTATGATAAAGAAAAACAAGAAAATTTAAACGTATGAAAATAATTCTTGTTTGAAGAATTAATTTTATTTGTACATAATGTTGATTATTTATTGAAATTTTATTATTTATTGGAATAAATTGAAGAAAATATTCTTTAAGATTAAGCCATTGTTCAATAACACGTTCAATTATTGGTCCAGCATCAAGCCATCGTGTCATAATAAAACGACGAATAAATTTACCAACTTTATTCGAAAGTGTTTTAGTTACATTTAAATAATCTTCACGACGTGATGGCGAACGACTAAACCAAAAACCCAAATTATTAAGAAATTCTTCAATTGACCATTTTGTATTATCCATGCCTATTTTAAATGAATTATGAATTAGATGTAATGGACATGAACCAATATCAATCAATCCAATAGTTGATTTTATTGTTGATGATGATCTTACCATTGAAAAGAAATCAGAAAAGTTTTTATTTAATTGTTAACAAAATTATTTACCTTAATTATATATTTTACAAAATATCTAACTCAATCTATCATTATGACATATAAAATATCCAGTTTTAACCGTTTAGGTTTTTTAAGAGAAAAAAATATTACACTAGATTTATGACTCAACTATATTGGCAGTATAGATCTAAGTTTTTTCAATTTCTTTTTATTCTGATTTATGGAAAATAATAATTTAAAGGATTATCGTTATAAATGTAGTAGTAAAATAGTCTGATCTCGTCGAAATGAAGGCATGAGTACTAGAATGAAGATTCTGAAGTAAGTATTGTTCAGGGTTTTTTTTCTTCAAATCTCTTTAATCATTATAATTTATATCGACAGAGAAAATAGGCTACCTCTTTTGCTTTATTGTAAATAATTGAAAAGTTATTTTTACTCACTGTTTTTCTCGTTCAAGACGAATATATTGATCCATCATTTTTTCAATTGTTTTATTTACATTAGGATTATCTCTACCTATAATTAAATGAAATCATATTTATCTTATTTTACAAAATCTTTTTAAACAAACCAAGCATTAAAATTTTTGTTAAATTAATTTCATCAGCTTGTAATGTATCAATTATATTTCGAAAAACTATTTCAGCAGTTGCATGACCAAGAAAAATACTTTTATAATATCTTACAACAATTTCTTGTTTACTTTCACACCAATATCGAACATATAAATCTAATTGTTTTCGTACACCAACAGTTATTGTTTCATCAAATATTAATGTAAATGCAGGTGCTTTCTTTAAATCATTTAACATCATTTTATTAAAATAATAACCTGTACCATGTGATAATATATAAGATAATTTTCTTGGTTTTAAAGAAAATTCTTTAACTATATGACTATCAGAAAACATGTGAGAAAATAATTCTTGAATATGTTGTGATGAATTATAACTAAAACCAAGTTTAGCCGTTGCTAATGCCCAATATGTTTCAGCACGTATTACTTTTTCATCAAATGTTAATATAGATTCATCTGTTGTATTTATTTGATGAGTCGATGATGATGATGATATTGTTGGTGGATGTAATGAATTTGATTCAATAATATTTTTAAGATGTTGAAGATGTTTTTGTCGTTGTGAATGTTTATAAATATCAGACCATCCACCATTTTTACAACTTTTTTCTTGATTACAAACAATACAGAAAAATGTACCTTGAGTTTTACCTTGTTGAAGCCAATGTGAACATGGTTTTTTTGTAGAATCAAGTTTATCATACCATTTTATACAAAAATGGGTATCTTTTTTTGGCATTTTTCTTTCCTTTTTGATTTCAATATTATGATAGTTAGTACAATATGATATTCTTGTGAATAGTAAGATATATATAGACACGTGTTAATCGAAGAGAAAAGAATAGAAATATGAACTATTGTATATGATATTTGAATTGAACATATATATTCCTTAGAGATGTAAAAAATCATGATTTTATTAATCTTGAATGAAGTTTTTGTCTTATAATGTAATTCATCCAGAATTTTATAAAATACATTCATTTGTTTTAGCTCTGTTTTGAGTAAATCTTTGTTTGCATGTGAAAGTGCACAAATCAATTCTTCATAATCCTAACTACATCGAAAGATTTTCTCTCTATTTGAAATTAACTATAAAAAATATTGTTATCTTTCTCAGTTATTCAAAGGTTTAGAATATAGTTAAACTATTAATCCAACGATTTCGAATTTAGATTGCTTTGAATGATTTCTTTGACTAAATAAGTTATTAGATCTCTCTTCCTTTATCGATACAAGGTAAACATAGCTTCTTAGGTTATTAGAGATATTGTTAGAAATTCATGTCATTTATCAGGAAATTGAAGAAACTTATGTATTCACATTTCGCCAACGATCTTTTATACATGTTTTTTTAACTCATAATGAAAGAAATCGAGAATATGAAAATTAGTTTTTTGAATGCTAATTGTATGATAGTGACTTTTTTTATTTCAATAAATAATACAATATTTTGTACAAGAAAATTTATTTCAACTTTTTGCCTCTTTAAATTGCTGTTTTCAAGATTTACAAGGTTTAGACACAATAAAATATCATTTTACAAATATTACATTTAGATTTTAATTACGAACACATTGAATTATATAGTTACATATTAATTATAGTTGAAAAACTGATGGGTGTGAGTGTCCGTGTTATATTAACCTCATACACACACACCCTTTGTACACTAGGGGATATTTTTTTATAATATGTATAAAGATCAATATTTTTAGAATGCACATCAACATATTGCATCATTATACATTCTTCGAATGAGTTCTTTACCCTGTAGCAGTCTAATGACCACTATATTTAGAATTTAGTTTTTGATATATTATCGTAGTGGTCACAAACTTTCAGTTCTGATGGGTATATATTATATCAATGAGATACATTCACTATGCGATGAAACTCATTTTAAACGGCTCTGAAAGATTCATAGACTAAAACATAATGAAATATCCGAGATCTTCTACGAAAAGAGGATTGTCTCATTAATAAATAACTCACCCAAAATAAAAATATTTCAACAAAAATGATTTAACACATTCATAAAACTATAATTTGATTATCTTCATTCATAGGTTATGAAAGATAATCGATCAAGTATCCGAGTATTATCGCCAATGAATATGGTACTATTTCACTTCCAATGAAGATTTAGAGATAAGTTTTGATTAACTCTATTATTAAGTAGCAATGCACGAGTATGAAGAATATTTTGCTGCTAAAATTTTGCACTAAACATTATAATTGTTAGTATTCAATTATTTATCGCTGATTACTTTAGATCTTTTTCCTATTTCTATTACAATATATGATCAACACTCAGAAGTTGACATTGATTCAATATAAGTGGGGAAATAAATATTTGGAAAAGTCACTACAAAAATAGTATCAGATCACAAATAATTCATGAATCAATTTTATATTATCAACTAATATCCGAATCATTTTTTTAACATATAGCATACTTTTTAATTGACTACCCACTGCCATTAAAATCTAAAACAAGTTAAATAAATCTTTGTTCGTTAAAAAACACCCATCTATTTTGGAGTTATGTATGATACATTCAAATATTAAAAGAAAGTAAAGACGTCATCAACTTTGTTTAGTCATTTTTCTAATGTAATTATGGAAATGCCATTTTCCATATACAGAATGTTTGCCTATGTTACCATTATTGTTTTTCTCTACACACACGTTTCTTTTTGTGAAGTAATGTACTTTTTCTTTTTGTAATTATATTAAACGTAGGTCTTTCTACAAGTTGTCTGATTCTATCGTTTCTTCTAAAAAATAATCAAAAAGATTGTCCAACTAACTTTATCTTCTTCTGCTACATACATTATATATCACAGCAGCATAGAAACGAAGGAAAATAAAATAAAATAAAAATAAAACACGTTTTATTGGATAAACGTTTTTACTCGAGAAAAAAAAAACAGTTTAGAATGTGTTGTTATGATAAACAATTATTAAATTCATTTTAGAATAGTGAAATAATACGGTTTGTTTTGATGTATCTAATAAACAAGATATTTTGTCTTTCATTAATACTACTATGCCTAGACACGAATCCTAATTGTTTGGATTATTATTATATTGATGAAAGAAAATGTGATTATCTATTAAATTACAGACCATAATGTTTTCATCAATCAAAAACTGAAGAATAGAATACTTCGTGTTAGAGTCTTTTGAAAAATTCAAATCTAGTGCGTATGAATTTGAAAGATTATTCAATTTTCTTTGTTCTATATGATTGGCGTGAGAGTTAATTGATATATTCTATAATCTATGAAATAAGCTTGAACGAATATCTAATTTACACATCGACACAGTGAATTAAATTTCAATCAAACGATTTTTATTTTTATAAGATGAGTCGATCGTTCTATATGCTTTTTATCTTTAGTAATATTCCATATAACATAAATCCTGTATTCTTAAACATATCTGTCTCTAAGTAACATATCAGCAAAAAAACTCGTCTTTCCAGATCCATATGTGTTTTTACAAAATAAAATAAAGTTATGACTATTTTTTTTCATTATATTGATGAGATGTAATAAGAAAGTGAAGCATACGCTACATTGAAAAAAGAAAAAGAGTGAGAAAAAGAAGAAAAAAGAATAGTGTTTATCGCTCAACAGATTCTTTTTCTTTTATTCTCAGTTAAATTCATTTCATCAACTTGCATGTTAATTGGTAATGGCTTCAAGAAGAATTTGTTTATGGCTTGTATTTATGATTATTATGCACTCGGCCGGAGAAGATACACGATCAATTCTAATGTCTTTAATAACTGGTTCGAAATTTCAGTGTACTAATACAACATGTTTACCATTCGTTAATATCATTACATCGACTATTATGAAGTGTCAAATGGCTTGTTTAGCTCAAATTTATTGTAGAGCAGCCAGTTTTCATCAGTCAACTTCTAATTGTGAATTATTTAATGCTATGTCAAATGAAATTTCAAATATGGCGACTGACACCGATATTACTACTATGATTGTTATTGCTGGAACACGATTTCCACCTGGTCAGTATGAATATAGTAGATTTAGAAAGTGATCATTCTGAAAATATCGGTGAAAATATATCTGACAATGGAAGATCCACAGGGATGTCGATGAAATTATGTCGGTTTATTTTAAGTGCAGTATACCTTTCTCAAGCATGACACAATTAGATACTCTGACTGTGTCAGTAATAACACATTATAGATAAAACAGTTCCTAAGAAATCTACACATAATTTTTGCTGTATAACTTTTAAGAATTTTTCAAAATCGTAGAGTACTTTCATTCTAAATATTGTAGATCTTGTTTGAATTGTGTATTCCCTGTATTTATTGTTGAATCTTCCTAGATGTCGTGCATGAATCATATTTATTCTGTATTACTAAGTGTGTGAATGTAGATTTTATACTCATTACTATCCACACACTAATCAATATGATTATAAAATACTTAGAAACAATTTCAAGTTGACTCGGACGAGAAAAACGCGGCAAATACATCGGACATTCCTTTGTATTAATAGCATTTAGAAACTTCCATTGCCTCTATGCCTTAAGTCCCTAACTCAATGTTGACGAAACTAGTTTTAGAATATTTAAAATAGTGCTTTTGTTAATATTAGCTTCTATCTGTAGCAAGAATTTTGTTTCTAAGAAGAAGGTAACATTTTTCTTCCGCTCCTCAACTCATCATTTTCACAGTTCAGTCTAAGAGAATTGTTATATAATTATAGCACAGAATGTCGAAAGGTGCAGAACCAGCTTTTTTTATGATGCACGGCCAGGGGACCGGACAAAACTAGATGGTTCAGAAACAAACTAGCTACACAAATAACTTAAGATCGCGAAAGAGTTCGATAGCGTGTATCGGCGAGAGTAAGAACGCGAATGTGGGTGCGGGTTTGTGCGTGAATGAAGATCTGAGTGGATGTGAGTTAGAGTGAGGATCTGAGTCTGGGTTCCGTGTGTGACTATAAGGATTGCATTAATCTTGAACTTAAACACAGACCCAGACCACTCTTCTTATGCTAGAAATCTAATTAAACTAAAGAGTGTGCAAGGATAATTATAATGTAAATCGTCTAAAAATTTACTCTTCTATCATAATGCATTCACATTTCTAGCAGATATAATAATTAGACAAGAAGAAGTAAATAATTAGGAGTAAATCCGTAACCAATAGTTTAGTCTCAGTCTAAAACTATCTCTCCAAAATAGAACCGACCACATCAACATCAACAACTTCGATCATAACATCCACAACAACGTCAATGACATCAATAACAACATCAGTCACATCATCAACAACTACGACAACAACATCAACATCCACAACCACATCATCAACAACTACGACAACAACATCAACATCCACAACCACATCATCAACAACTACGACAACAACATCAACATCCACAACCACATCATCAACAACAACAACATCCACAACAACGTCAACCACATCATCAACAACAACATCAACAACCACATCATCAACAACC